TCTCACTTTCTACAGAACATTGTAATGAAGGGCTGAAACAATTAAATGTGGTAATCGATTACTGAAATTATCGTCACCTCATTTAGTAATCAATTAATCATTTCATGGAGTATAGAGACTCTAAAACACGCCTTAACTGACAGAGCAACCTGGTTAGTACAGTAACTATACCAAAACTGTAAAAAAAAAATGTATATATATATATAGATATATATTTATTTATTTATTAGGGATGGAACGGTTCGGTTCGCATGTGTTGCGCTTGGTTCATGCGCTGCTCCTTTTTCTCATAGGCGAAGCGTTTACACTCCAGAGCAGAAGGTGGCGGTACTGTGACCAAAGCCAACCACCAGTGGTAAACAAGAAGAAGAAGAAGCGAAGCAGCATAGCCGGGTGTAGCAAAAAAAAATCAGTTGTTGTGGAGAATTGTGTGGCGAGTGGGAAAGAACAGGAGTTGGAAGACGCGCCAGCAGCACTTTATAGGTCTGCTGTATGGGACCACTTTGCATTTAGAGTGACCTACGATGACGGTGGAAATAAAGTGGTGGATAAAAATGCAACATTGTGCAAGCATGACCAACATGTCATGCTAACCCCGAAATCCCACATACTCCGTCAGCGCTCCGCCCAACTGCGCTCCAGACCGCCTGCACAAAGCAAAGCATACGGGAGCCACAGTGGAGGCACTGTGGCTCCCGTCCGCTCCCCTCTGAGTTCCTTGGAGATCGTAGAGGGCATGCGCCAGATGATTAAATTCAAAGCAGCAAAACATGCGGAAATGATCCATGGTTTCCGCGAATCATTAAAAATAATTACAATTCATTATTTTTTTGGGGATTTTTTTCATTAATTTCATTTTTTTTTTAAATTCATAAATTTTTATTATTATTTATAAGTTTTTTAATTTTTCGGTGTAACAATAAAGGATAGTTAGGATTATTTCTTCCTGACAGTTTTATTTTGTTTTTAATCATTACTTTTATCAGTTGATGATGCTACATTGTTCAGGGCAGCAGCTCGAGTTTTTAGCAGTCAGTTAATCTATTGTTTATTTTTCTGAATGATCCAAAAGGAAATAGCTAAAATGAACATTCCACAATTAAAAAATACTTTTTACAATTAAGATCCAGTCGGATCAACAATCAAACGTTGATCAATTATTGATTGTTCACTAAGTTACAAATCGTGGATTAATAATTTGGTAGCAAAAGGTGCGTATGATGATTTTTTTCCCAGGATTTGAACCAGGGGAAACTAAAACTACAAAATAAGATCATATTTATTGCACAATGTTGTAATTTTCTCTGGTATGTTCCCAAATGAAGAGGTATTCCCACCAGATGACGCTGCTACTTAAATGATTCACTCATGGTGATTAAACTCATGGTGTGTTTTAGTCTGTATACAAAAGTTAAAGATTTTATTTGATCACCAAATTAGTTGAAGATCATGTTTGCAAGCTTCAGTGACTGGTAATGTCTATAAATAATGAGATATTTGTTGTGACCATATATTCCAGCTTTTAAGTACAGACTGAATGTACCTTAACATTGAAAGAGATTTCCTCCATGACGTAGACTCTTTCAGGGAATGCTTTGGCCACCTCCTCCACGCTGCTGAAGTACTGCACAGGCTCCTTGACATCTCTGTCCTGCTCGAGTAGCTTAAACTGACCTTAAATTGATATAAGAGAGAGAGAAAAAAAAAAAAAAAATTAGTTCAACAAAACAGGTCAAGCATGCTATAAGACATCCACAACAGTGTTTGAGTAGCAACACCTTGTTACTTTTCCATGGTGATAGAGAAGTACAAAAAAAGTACAAACTGCAGCGGTGTGGTGACAGAGAGATACATGAAAAATGCGGATCATTTCATACTTTGGCAGAATTGTTCATTTTTATTTTAACCTTTTAGTGGAAACTACCACAGCATCTAATCATTTATGTAAAGCTTAAGCTGCGCCTTTAGTTTCTGGTGTAGATACATGCTAATCATTGGTGTTGCATCGATACCAATACCAGTATCAGGCCCTGATCTAGCACTAAAATTGAGTACCAACAAATAGGGCACTGATACCATTTTGAGAGCCAAAAGTTTATTCAACTATTGTCACCCATTCCAGGTAGGCAATAAAAAGTTCTACTGGATTCACCTTGTATTAGTCTTTTTCCTGCTTCACAAAGGTAGGCAGCAGCTTGACAAAGCCATGATGGTGATTATTTTACATCCAAGTAGTATGCAGTTTTTCATATAAACACACACACACATCAATTTCAGACAGATGGCACCGGTATCGGCCAATACTGCACAGTATTATTAGCCAGGTATCTGGTATCGGGGCCAAAAAAATGGCATCAGCACAACATTACTAATCATTAAGCAGAAATTAAAACATGCAAGTTGAGCATTTCTTTACACGTTTTGTCCAACAATTCTCAAAAGTACTTAGTTACCGATAACAATGAAGTTGTACAATAATTTCATATTACCACTGTCCTCAAATTATCAGTGTGTAAAACAAAGCAACTTTTAAAGGAAGGTCTTTAGTTTGCATTTTAAAGCTCTTTAAGCTCACTTGGATTGACTTAATGTTGAAATCGGGCATAGATAGTGATGACAAAGATACTGAATTGCAACGATATTTTAGACCAAAATTATAATGGGGTAAAAGAAAGAAAGTGAAAAATTTTGCATTTCTATTTCAAGTATGTGAGAGCATTTTTTTCTCTAAAAAAGTTATTACATTGATGCAGATAAAGACAAAATAGTTCCTGGTTGGTCTAAAGTAGGGGTGTAAATAATAATCGTTTGTATCGATGAATCGATCCAACAGGTGACGATCCAATGCATCGACACGTCCGCAAGAGTATGGATTCATGATTCCTTCCGGTCTCTTTTTATCCATTTGCTCAAGGAACAACTTTGCAATTTCTGTTACTATAACGATATTACAGCTTTCATTGATTTATTTCACATTTGTAAGGCTTAAAAAAAAAAAAAAAAAAAAAAAAAACAATTAATCAAATCGTGGCGTTTTCTTGAGTATTGAAAATAATCAAATCGTTGATGCGTATGATTTACACCCTTATAACAAACTGTTGATATGAATAAGTTAACCTACATGGATCCATTATGCAACCATGGATTTAGTTGGAGCTTACCTTCATAATGAACAGGGATCTCTATTTTGGGTCCAATAACGTAGTGTCCCTCCTCCAGGCTGTGAGCAGTTATAGTTGTCCACTGACGGCAGGAATGAATCAAGAGGTAGTCATTGTCTCGAAGCCCTTCCACCAACTGACCTGCACAAATTAAAAAGTGACAGATATTCAGGATCTTCAGAGCAGACAATTTTCCCCTAAAAAATAAAACCTTATATGATTCAAATTGCCCTGTTGAGAAAAAAGTTTTCTGTACTGAAACAAAGGTTAAAATAGCAGCCTAAGTTGCATTTTGTGTTTAATCCATCAACATTATTCCTGAAATAACTAGCTTTAACACAAGTTAGCTTTAATTATGTGGATAAATATACAGCAGAACAATTGTATCCTTCACATTAAGATAAATATCCTGTGTTATTATATTGTTACCTGTCTACTAGCTGCCTATTTTAGAATAATTAAACAAAAAATGTCTAAAAAATGGGTTGTAAACAACTAAGTCTGGCAATAAGTATAAAGCATAATAATTTGTTGCTAACAAGCGCAAAGATAATAGCTTGAAAAGTCTCAAGGCTACTCACCGTTATCCAGCCTGACAATCTGTGGCAGCTTATATGCACTGACCAGCTGGTCTAAAGGTAAGGATGTGGTGCTCCATGTAACATCTTTTAGATTGTTGTACAACATTGTTCCAAGGTCCATTTTGCTACAGCTAGCTTCCATTAGCCAACTGTGGAGCTAGCTGCATGTAAACACGGCTACGGAGAGGCTCTGTGGGAAAAACAAAGCAAATATACCGCCTTTCTTACGATATAGTGTCATATAACAACTAACATTTCGCGTTTTATCTGTTGCATGTTTTCCCTTTTTGATGTTTGCCTACGTATCATAAAGGTCCGTTGTCCGAAAAAGTAGCAGAGCCATGTTTGTTCAGCTGACGACTGGCTAGCGGAACAGAGTATCTACTCTTTCAGAATAAGATGAGGGCTTATTTAAATCTAAAGAAAGAAAATAGTTTTTACTGTTTGACAAATTTATATACAATAAGAATATCTAAAAAATTTATATTATATTCTCTATCACACTGGAACGAAGCGTATTTTCTTAAATATGACCTCTGGTTGTTTTCATGTGATTTACTTTGAAAGGTATAAACCAGATGTTGTGTTTTATGCAGTAAGTTTGGCACAGTAGCGATGATCTACTGATCTACTTGGGAATAATGGATTTTTAAAGCATGGGCCCCGCTGAGTTTAATCACCTTGAGTGGGACATTGAAGTAGCAGCTTCATCCATGCGAATACATCTCATATATATATATATATATATATATATATATATATATATATATATATATATATATATATATATATAGCTAGGGGAAATTAAAATCAAAATCTAATCAATCTGTTATTCAGAAAAAAATATTATTATTAGCTGTATAAAATTAACAAATAAATATATAATGCATTCGGCTTTCTGTTCAGTATCTGTTCCCGGGACATGAATGCCAGAGAAGAACACTGTCCTATCATATCATACTGATATCAACATTACTCTCTCAGTAAATTCATTTGCAATAATAATAATATGTGGACAATTTAAAAGAGCACTCGGTGCTGCTGTGGTGGTTGGAAGGGTCTTCAATCAAATTTGTCATAGGAACCCAAATAATGTTGATTTTGCTCTGGATTTAACTCCTTTTATAAATGCTCTTAATATAGAAGCAATTCTTTGACTAGTTGTGGTGCAGGAAAATACTCAACACTAACATGTCATCACACTTCCTGATCTCACTGGTACAAATCAAAGAGCTTCCCTAATTCGGTCTCAGTGTGTTTGCAGCCAGCGAACATGTCTTTCGTGGACACTCTGCGGCAGTGGGATGAGGCTGTGACCTGTGCTGACAAGCAGGACTGGTCGGAGGCTCTCAGCATCTTCCTGTCCATTCAACAACCAAACTCCAAAATTTGTTTTGACATCGGCTGCCTCCATCTTCTCAATCAAGACCTGGATGCTGCAGAAAAGGTACATCTGAGAGAAATATCGCCCATTTCTCTCCAGCACAACACATTTTTTTTCACAGTGTTGCTCACATGAGGCAGTAAAATCCTCCAGATTCAGCTGGTGCACCTGTGAGATGAAACAAACACATAGACTGGTGTCTGAAAGTGCAAGTCACCCCGAAAGAAGAAGTAGTTCCCCATTCTTCTGTTCTTATAGAGGAAGTTATAGTGTTTTCTGTTGTTTCTCAGGCGTTTGATTGCAGCATACGTAAGGATGAGCATTTGGCAGTTGCCTTTTTTCAAAGAGGAATAACCTTCTTCAAAAAAAAGAGGCAAGTAACTCAACGTTTCTCAATAAAAGGCCCTCCTTCCTGCTGTTTTATTTATGCCTGAGTCTAAAAAAATGCTTGGCACAGTTTGCTTTTTTAATGCTGAGCACCAATTATAGATTTAGCTGTCGACTATCATGTCTAATGGACTTGCTCACTTTGTCTTAAGGTACGAGGAGAGCTCAGCTGATTTTCAGAGAGCTTTCAAAGCACTCAGAAACAACCAGCTGATAGATTACAAGGCACTCGGGCTCAGATACATCCTATATGCATGCGAGGTAAGCAGTTTTCTAGATGCAGCTCAACCCTTGTCAAACAGAAATTACTGGAGCTCAGCTCATTTCCAGAAGACAGGCAACCAGTATTCAAGAACTAGTTATAATCTACATATAAAGTTCTTTTAATCTTAGATGTTTCTGAACCTAATGATAAAAATCTGTATAGTTATACACTTATTAATAGATATCCAAGTATTTGTTAAAAGAAAATAGTCGTTTAAAACCTAGAATAAAGGCTATAAAATGGTTGGTAATTAATCTTTGGATCATTTATCTTTTTAAAAGGGGCTTCAAATCCCCAATTCAGAACTTGAATATTAGAATAAGGAGCTCCAGCCATCTTATCTAGTGTTTTTGGAGCTGTCATCACCTTAAAAATGAAAAGGGTGCTTAAAGATAAATGATAGAGTTGCATGTTAAACTTGATTACGTGATGTGAGAGGAACAAATATTGATCAAAATCCTCCCTTTGTTACTTATAACCTCCTGATGACATCTTGTTGGGTAATTGTGAGCCAACTAATGCTGAATAATAGAGGAGTTTGGGACTGATGAGGCTGTGAAACACTTTGCATCATCATCTGCCTCTGAGCTGGATTCTATTTATACGGAAATTCAGCTTTTCCAACCGGATGACTTGTTGCACTGTTTGAGATTCTAGAGGGAGAGGCACCACCAAGATGTCGAGGCTATACCACAAACCTACAGCCTTTCAGCTTTAGTCTCCTTCCTATGCAGATAGGAAAGCTGTCGAAGAGGAGACTGATATCCCTCCATCTGAGAGAAAGAAAAGAAGTAAAAGAACTAGAGCAAAAATCCATGATGGTTCCTAGAAGTTAAACACCATCTTATCCCAAAAGGTCCTCCTCTCTTTCCCAGAGTAATGATCGCAGCAGCTCTGCTCAGTTTCTCTTTTTGGAATTCATGGCCATCCACATACATCCACATGTTTGGCAAGACCATTAACCAGACAAGCACATGAGAAGCCATTGATAAACCTTTGGGGAGCTTAGGTTGAAGAATCAGTCGACACATTTAGGGAACTAAAAACCAGTAATAATGTAATTAATTAGATAAAAGTATATCTGTGTATGCCAACCAAAATCTAAAAAAAAATATGTTGCGATGGTTGAAAAAGGCGTCCATAGACATTCTTTCCAATCTGACTGAGCTAAGGCTATTTTAACGAGAAGAATAGAATAGAAAAGAATTTGACTTAATCGTCATTACATTGTCAGAAGGTAACGAAATAGTTTGCATCTATCCAAAAGTGCTATACAGGATATACATATTTATTTACTTGTGCATAGAGTCTACGTTTGCATCGGCTATTAACAGAGAGTAATTGTAAGAGGCTACAGATAGAGATTATACAGGGAAGTTCGGATATGGATTATATATACTATATATATTAGTGAGGTTATAATACAGGACGGTCATAATGTACTAAGCTGGAAGAGGCAAACTGTCATTTGTAAGATTAACAACTCTGTAACATGGTGTTGGTCTATATTATCCAATATCAATATACAGAACAAGTCAATTTTGTGTTGGTAATGTGACAAAAAAAAAGCTAATAAAGATGGTTTTAGAAACCAATTATCTGATATGCTTCCCCAAAAAAGAGCTTTAAACCAAAAAAAAAAAAAAAAGAAAGACAAGTGACTTAGTGGGCGGACATTGATATTTGATTTCACAGGTTCTCCACAACATAGCTCTGGCTGAGGCTCATTTGGGTAACTGGGAAGAAGCCCAAGAAAACCTGGCGAAGGCCCTGGACTACAAAACAGAGGCCAAGCTCAGTATCATCGACAAAGCCCTGCAGGTGACTCTGGTCAGTCCACAGTTATCACTGTTACAATCACAAACTACTCGTCTTTAGTCTTTTCAAATGTACTAGACCGCATGTGCAGCCGCATATTCCTGATGCTCGTGGACTATTTTCAATTGCTCTCCTTTATTTGCAGAAACAAAAGCTTTTCAAACTAGTCGAGTTCCCATCAAAAATACTGTTTAAACCAAACAAGAACTACGTAGCAGAGCTGGAGAAGAAGGACTACCTGGGAAAAGCAAAGGTATCATCACATGGATGAGTTACAAACAGAAAAGTCAGCTACTTCTGCTTTTTTTATTTATATTTGATTAACTTGTGTTAAAACAATATGGTCTCTGTTGCCATTAAATTGAAAGAAAATAATTCTATTATGTTCAAAAGTGATATCTAAACCCTGCTGTTTAATAAATCCTCAGGTTGTTGCTTCTGTTATTCCACAAGACGAGTTTTCTGGGTTCGCTCCGTTGCAGCCGCAGGTGAGACAAGGGTTCATATAAAAATTAGAAGCCAATTATGTCTAATAAATCTGGTTTGTATTCACAAAAAATGTAAGATTAGCTCAATATGATTGAGGAGACCAGGTAGAGGCTGGTGTGAAATTCTCACTGCTTTAAAATCTTACTGTTTCAATCACACACATGCGCAAACACCAACATGTGCTTAAAGGTTATGTTAACCCATGGAAAGCAATTCACAATCTCCAGATTATAGAGCATGCAACAAGCATAATAGGAAGTGATACATTCATCTTTACCACAGCTGAAGCTTTAAGACAAAAAATGGAAAATAAATGACAGCTAAATATAGCAACAGTTTGCATGTACAGTTCTGCTCTTTCCAATGAAGGACTTATCCAAGCAAGTTATTTTATCTAGTTATTGGTCTATTGAGGTTTTAGTCACTGAAAGAGAAAACAAGCTATTTCAAGTTTAACATTTAAATCATGCAATCTGAAATCCAGTTTGAAAAGCATTTTCTAATTGCACATTTTAAAGAGGAATCGTGAATTGTATTTATTACTACATTATTAAATGTATTTTCAAAGTCCACTTCTGGGACCAGAAGGGTCACGGTAAAGGTAAACTGAACTGATAATTCATAAAGAAAAAGCTATTTCAAGAAGGATTTGAAAAGGCAAGTTGACAAAGAAAATGTAAATTAGATCATTTTGTTTTTTAAATTTTTTTATTTAGGGATAGGATTTGAAAATGCATTTTAAATATCCACTATCTAACAATGCATTACTTAATGCAGTTTGCAATTCACCATTATTAATTAAACTTAAAATTTGCAATAAGAAAATTGCTTTTCAAATGTCCTATTGGTCTGGACAGCAGCTATAGCTGCTTTAGTAACTAGCCTGCTACTCTTAGCGTATTGCAATTACTTTCATTTTAAGGAAAACATGGGAAAAATTATAAAAAAAAAAAAAAGGTTTTTCTAGTTGTCTGACAGTGAGCAGCCATACAGAGAGGGTTGTTGCTTCATTACTCAAGGCTTCACTGAGTCATAGTAAATTACAGTCTTCTTGGAATCTTCTTGATTCCAAGTAATGACATTTCTAGAAATAGAAAAAATGTCATAAAAATTTGGTGATTTTGAAATACTGATGACCAACCCATAAGTAAAAGAGACCATGATTGCTTCCTCTTATTCTCACATCCTGCACATTGGTAAGAGCTTTCAGAGGTGGGGTGGAGTACTCTGAAAGTCTAGTCAAGTCCCGACTAACTAACCATAACATCTAACGTTTAAAATAATTTTGATAAAAAACAGGCCAAAATGTAAAGTTTTGTTCAAATTCTGACATTTTAAAGACTATAATAAAACAATTAAACGCAAATATTGTTACCAAAAATAACAACTGGAAACACGCCAATTTTCTCTCTAAGATATATAAGCATGTATATTAGCATGACCTCCAAATGTTGCCGTAAAATCAAACAAGCCTATGTACAAAAAAGACAACTAATTTTGACATAAACATGAACTGTTTCTATTTAGAATAGAAAAGAAAAATACCTTTATGGTCCCACAATGGGGAAATTCTGGTGTTCACAGTAGCAAAAAAAGTATAGAAAAATTTTTTTACACAAATGTGGACCTTTGAAAAATTTATAAGAATAACTTGATAGTGAAGAGTTACAATATAAACAATAAAATACTGTACTGCTAAGTGTTTTAACAAAATCAAAATGTGCACCTGGAGAATAAATAACCAATATCCAGCTATGGACATTTTTACAGTAATGGATATTGGATAATAGCAGCAGCATCAGAGATGTGGAAAAAGCAGCAGCATGTTATTTAACTGACTAAGGTAGCAACTGTGCAAAATCAGCATGAATGTAACAACTTATTGAGGTTGGTGGGAACACTAATGGTTATAAAGTCTAACAGCTGTTGGGAGAAAGGATCTGTGATAACGCACCCTGGTGCATTTAGGGTGCAGCAGTCTATCACTGAAGCAGCTCTGCAGTTCTGCAGCAGCTTCATGCATGGGATGGGAGATATTATCCAACAGAAATGTTAATTTAGTTAGGATCCTTTTGTTTCCCACCTCCTGCTCTGAGTCCAGAAGACATCCAATCACAGAGCTGGCCTTCCTGATCTGCTTCCAGCTGTTTACTCTCAGCTAAAGATAAGCTGATGCTCCAACAGACAGCTCCATAGAAGAATCTTTTGGAGCACTTCAAAAAAGAAAAAAAAGCTTGTTTTTTATTCAGTGAACTTACTCACACTGTATGAAGTATCCTAACATTTTATATATTGGTATAAAATATATATATTCTCATGATACTCTAAGTTCCAGTCAAATTTGATTAGTTTAATAATTATAAAGTTATTTACTTTGCTAATGCAGTTTACAACCCTTCATATAGATGAGTGTGAGTTTAATGAATAGTATGTTCATCACCTGCTCAAATGCATAATTAATCTGTCTAACAAGCCACACTGTGACCTAAACGTTTATTATTTAATGACTGCATGATGTGACGTTAACTTAGAAATAGAGAACTTTTATTTTTAAGTTTATACAAAAATGAATTTTATTTTGTACAGCTTTCATAACATTTCCATTCCTTAAATTGCAAAATGGTGCTAAAAACACATTCATATGAAAGTTCAGAGCATTAAATACATATGGTGCAATAAATGCAGTGTTTTGGTTTGTTGTCAGGGTGATGCAGATTCTGTGACTTGATTTAGAGTTTTTGTTAAGCTAATTCTGGTTCATCCAGTCTATGATCGAATTATCTATGTTCTGACTGAAGGTTGAAGACGGTCCAGCTGCTCCTAGAGAACCAGAGACTCTGAGGTTTGTAAATTACTTTTGATTTATCTAATTTCATATTTCTTTCATACTTTTCTTTTCATACAATTTGAATTCCAACAAAATGATGGTGACACCATTGTTTTTTGTTGTTTTTTTTTTTTTGCAACTTCAGGAAAATAATTTTATTAAACTCTCTTTTTTTTTTTGGAGGTAACATAAAATCAACAAGTAAAAAAGTAGATTCATAAAGTAACATATTTTCTGCTGCATCTTTAGTATATTTTTCTTTTAATGGGAGAGTACCTTTGATGCCATGTGGACGCTGTGTTTTCACAGAGCTTTGGAAGGGGAGGCCCACACTGTGCTGTTTGAGTTTGTTCCTGAAACCAGCAATGAGTTGGCTGTAGTGCCAGGCAACATTGTGTTTGTGTTACAGAGGGGGGCCGACAACTGGGCATATGTGGTCTTCAATGAAAGGGTAAGACCCCAGACCTTCAGTCTTTGGTTAAAGGGCCGTTTGTATTCAGATTTGGTTCTTTTGAATGCATATAAAACATCCTCTAGGTAAAAATGTGTAAAAAGCTTTAAATGTTGTAAATAAATCTAGAACATATAGATAAAAAAAAAAAAAAAAAAAGTTTGATCAGTGGAGTTTGGGAGGTATGCCATTTGGAGAAATACCAGTAAAACTGGAAATAAAATGAACAAGGTTGAGACAAACCAGGCTTAGTTTTCCACCACATACAGAGTAAAAATCCACTGATACTGATTGTTTTGTAAATTTGATGCTAACTCTGATTATTTCTTAATATTACTCTATCATTCCAGCCTGTCAAAATCAAAAATGCAACAGACTGGCATCCCGTTAAAAAACATTAAATGACCTCACTCTACATTTACTTAATGAAAATTTTTAAATAAGTGTATTCTTTGAAAATAACATTTAAATATTGAATGTGTTTTATTATATATATATATATATATATATATATATATATATATATACACTCACCGGCCACTTTATTAGGTACCCCATGCTAGTAACGGGTTGGACCCCCTTTTGCCTTCAGAACTGCCTCAATTCTTGTTGGCATAGATTCAACAAGGCGCTGGAAGCATTCCTCAGGGAGTTCGGTCCATATTGACATTATGGCATCACACAGTTGCCGCAGATTTGTCGGCTGCACATCCATGATGCGAATCTCCCGTTCCACCACATCCCAAAGATGCTCTATTGGATTGAGATCTGGTGACTGTGGAGGCCATTTGAGTACAGTGAACTCATTGCCATGTTCAAGAAACCAGTCTGAGATGATTCCAGCTTTATGACATGGCCCATTATCCTGCTGAAAGTAGCCATCAGAAGCTGGGTACATTGTGGTCATAAAGGGATGGACGTGGTCAGCAACAATACTCAGGTAGGCTGTGGCGTTGCAACGATGCTCAATTGGTACCAAGGGGCCCAAAGAGTGCCAAGAAAATATTCCCCACACCATGACACCACCACCACCAGCCTGAACCGTTGATACAAGGCAGGATGGATCCATGCTTTCATGTTGTAGACGCCAAATTCTGACCCTACCATCTGAATGTCGCAGCAGAAATTGAGACTCATCAGACCAGGCAACGTTTTTCCAATCTTCTATTGTCCAATTTCGATGAGCTTGTGCAAATTGTAGCCTCAGTTTCCTGTTCTTAGCTGAAAGGAGTGGCACCCGGTGTGGTCTTGTGCTGCTGTAGCCCATCTGCCTCAAAGTTCGACGTACTGTGCTTTCAGAGATGCTCTTCTGCCCACCTTGGTTGTAACGGGTGGTTATTTGAGTCACTGTTGCCCTTCTATCAGCTGGAACCAGTCTGGCCATTCTCCTCTGACCTCTGGCATCAACAAGGCATTTCCGCCTACAGAACTGCCGCTCACTGGATGTTTTTTCTTTTTCGGACCATTCTCTGTAAACCCTAGAGATGGTTGTGCGTGAAAATCCCAGTAGATCAGCAGTTTCTGAAATACTCAGACCAGCCCTTCTGGCACCAACAATCATGCCACTTTCAAAGTCACTCAAATCACCTTTCTTCTCCATACTGATGCTCGGTTTGAACTGCAGGAGATTGTCTTGACCATGTCTACATGCCTAAATGCACTGAGTTGCCGCCATGTGATTGGCTGCTTAGAAATTAAGTGTTAACGAGCAGTTGGACAGGTGTACCTAATAAAGTGGCCGGTGAGTGTATATATATAATGAGATATGGATTACATCTAAAAACACTGTTTGCAGAATGATTAGGCAAGCTGTATTTTTTAGGATTATTTATATTATTTGGCCACAATTGTGTTCTCAATCAACCCAAAAAACTCCTTAATATCAAAGTTACGTATTTTTGGGAAGCTGATGTGTTTTTTTTGGCAGGTAAATATTACGGTGCAGAATTATTAGGCAACCTTATAAAAAACAAACATATACCCCTCTCATGTGTTAATTTTCACCAGGTAAACCAATATAACAACTCAAAATTCAGAAACAAACAAAGGAAAGGAAGTTGCCTAATAATTAAGCACACCTTATATAGGGTGTTTATGTCATTAGACCGCACCCCTTCTCATTACAGAGATGCACACCACCTGATTTACTTAATTGGTAGTTGGCTTTCAAGCCTATACAGCTTGGAGTAGGACAACATTTATGAAAAGGATGGTGTGGACGAAATACTAATTTGCCTAATAATTCTGCACACAGTGCATATTTATAAAAAAAAAAAGAAGAAACCTTAAATTTTAAAAATAGAAAAAAATATTCTAGTTATTCAATGGGATTCACATTTCTGTATTCCATATACTTAAATTTGTGTGAATACGCATAATCATCATTTAAGAACCCCTGGTCTAACCGATATGAGCTGCTGATTTGTTGGGACAGATTTTTGAAGCCATGTTATTTCTTCCTCTTCGTGATGAAAATCACACAATCATCACAAATGTCAAACTAAATTGTGAACAAATTGACCCAGAAAGGAACAATGGATAGCAAAATGAAGGGAGCAGCAATGTGTGCACTTCAGGTGACCTCAAAGCATGGCTGCTGAGAAAAACACACAAATTAACACCCAAAGCATCAGCTGGTGGATGTATTGGTGTCTAATCCAGAGAGGCGGGTGGGTTACGTTCTATTAAATCATGCTACAACTAGAAAACTTTACAAAACTACCCTTAGCAAAAAGTAGTATACTTGAAGTAAATTCTTTGGGATTGCCCAAAGATTAAGAAATTCTGGGAGGGAATTAGAGAGGAAATTTCAAATATCTTGCATGCTGATATTGATTGGAACCCCCGGATCTTCGTTCTGGAAATTCCACCAAATAATTTAAGTAAAGAAGAATAATACTTATTTGGTATTCTTGTTCTCGTAGCCAAAAAAATGATTACAATATGTTCGTATAAACCTTCACCCCCTACTGTAAATCAATGGAAAGAGAAACTAGTGAACGTTTTTACGATGGAGAAAATAACAGCAAAATTAAACTTGTCCACTGGTTTATTTGAGAAAAGATGGAACCCTTTGAATACATATTTCCAGTTAATATTGTAGTAAGATAAATGTAAACACACATATTTTAAAGGCATACTTAACATATATCTCTGTTATGAGAAAAATAAAAGTCACTCGAGATTTTTCCTTTATTTGATCCCCCAAAAAAAAAAAAAAAAAAATATATATATAAAATAAAAACAATTATAATAATAATAAAGAAAAAAAAAAGAAAAAGAAAAAAAAAACATGGATTTTCAGCTCGCCGAATTGTTTGGTTATTGTTACTCAATTGTTTGTATGGTTGTATTGGAAGTTGTTGTTTCTGGCTTATTGTATTAAGCATTGATTTTGAATATTGATCTGATAAAATAAAATATTTGTTCAAAAAAAAAAAAAGAATACTTAAATATAAGTTTAGAAAGTATACCGAACAATGTACTTTTTACGTACTTGAAGTATTACTAAAGTAATACTTCTTCAAACTAAATTCGGAAATTTTTAAGTTTAGTAAAGTATACTTAAAGTATGCTTTAGTAAATAGTATAGACAAGTACACTTGACAATACTATTGTTGAGTATATGAAATATAGTTTAGAATAAGTAAACTCTAAGTGCACTGCCTGACTTTAAGTATGAAATTAGTGCCCTTTTAGTATACTTGAACAAACTACTTTTTGCTAAGGAGATGGTCATCTTTACAGCTGTGCCAATGATGGCTGAAGATGCTGTTTAATTAGCCTAATAAATTAATAAATAGTCAATATGTCATTTGCAGAGGGGACTGGTTCCTTACAACTACCTGGAGCGTTTGGACATCTCCCTCGGTCCAAGAGAGATCAGGGTATAAATATTACATTTTAATGACTTATTTACTGTGATGTTTAAATGTATTTTGACAATTTTACACTAATTAATTTATCTTGAATTGACCCAATTAGCTGAAAATATCATTAATGGTAGATTTGACATTTCTGTTTCGTTTTCAATGGCTGTTATCAGGGTGTGTCTAGACTTCACAGCCGAGATGCTCCAAGCAGACCAGAGACGAGTCAAGGTAGATGTTCTGATTAAGCAAACCAGACTATAAAGACCTTCTTTAATATGGATGTAAATAGTTATTTCTCATTCTGTATATGAAGGTCCTGCTATGGAAGACAGCAGCAGCAAGAATACTCAGCACCAGGTTCAGAGGAAACCTTCAATAATCTGCCCTCTGCTAGAAGAAATGTTTGGATATTTTCATTTATTTTTACTCCCTTTATTTGCAGATCAAGCAGCCAACAGAAACCTCTTATTTCATCAAAATCTACTTCACCTTTAACTTCGCGGTCTCTGTCCCACACGGGTCTCCTTATGAGGTTCTGGAAGAGAAAATCAGTAAGAAGCTGAATCTCCCCTCCGCAGCCATCTCTTTGAGGTAAAAGCTTTATTTTAATATTTCATCACTGTGATTTTGGGCTTCTATTTAAAAAACGGTTTTGTTTTTTAGCTCAGATGCTCAAGGAAAAAAGATGATTGATAAAACAAATATGAAAGAAGTATGGAGGCGTGCTCAGGATGGACGCATCTCACTGTGGTGCACGGCCAAAGAGGTACGGTGGGAGAGTTTCTAGGGTTCTCCTTCCCTAATGTTTGAATTAAAAATTAAAAATCAGTAAGAATCTTATCAGATGTTTCTACAGAGAAGAACCCTAAAATAATAAAGTCAAATAAAAAATGTCACCACAACGTTATGTTTGTGCAGGATACAAGTAGATTTTGATGTGACAAAAAAAAAGATGAATTTGATTTATTTCTGTTAAAATAATTTGTTTTTTAATGACAGCAAATTGATGGAAAGTCACAGAAAGAGATTTACTTGGTGGCGCTTCATACCTACGAGTCTTCTAACCCAGAGGACCTGAGCTTTCAGGAGGGAGATAAAATCAAACTGCTTTCCACAGGTTTGGCTTAAACGTATTTGAACACCTTCCAGAAATCTTCATAAAAAGGTTCAGAATCATCTTTTTAAAGATGCAGGTCTAACCTAGTCTCTTCTCTTCCTTTAGTGAACCAGGACTGGTTGGAGGGGGAGTGTAATGGGAACACTGGTATATTTCCTGCCTCATTTGCAGAGGAAGTTCAAACAAACGAACAATAGTGGTTTCATGTTGTTAGTGTGTTGTACTCTACACACAAGGCAGAAAATCATGTTATATTAAATTATTCATTCGTTACAGAAATAAAAACTGATGATGGCAGATGTGATAAAAAAACAATCATTTATTATATGGATATAGTCCATTTATAAGCAAATAAATTATCCTTAAGATGCTGTGATGACATCAATAAATCATGATGTTCCTTCCTCTTCGTATGCGATAGCTATGCCTCTCCTGCCCTCTACTGCCTTCACTACAGGAGTCTCTCCCAGCTTCTGCTCCAGGCCCTGCCAGCTTCGACCGGACAGAAAAGATGCTACAAAACACAGAAAAAGAGAAAAGCCAAATGTGTTGGTTACCTCAGACTGTAGGACAAAACGCAACAGAAATAAACATATTGAATTGCAGCAGATGTTTTGGACTGTTCTGTACCTGCCGAGTTGGCGTTGGCTACAGTCAGAGTCTGGTTCCTCAGAACCACAGAGGAGCCAAACGACGACTCTACAGGCTCGCCGTTCAGCAGGTTCTGGCTCCGCAGGGCTCCGGTTATTAACGACACATCGGTTGAATAGTCATCTTCCTGCTGGTCACACATTGGCACGTGACTCTGTCCACCTGTACCAGGGAAAAGGAAACTTAGATGAAATAAAACGAGTTATTGGGGATAGAAATCGCAGGGAGTGGCATTCTTTTACTATTTTATTTACTCTCAAAGTAAAAGAGCAACATCCTGGCAGAATCAGAATACAGGAGAGGAAATGGATCTTCATTAGTTATTAAAAACCTTTCAGTAGTGAATTAATTTAAGCAACAGTCTTCTGATGTGTGACATTAATAGAAAAGACTTAATTTAATTTTACAGCATGATATAAACAGAATGCCAACATACTTTGTATTAAATAAACTTCCCAAATCCCAAGAGTTTAAAGTCAGTTTTTTTTCCTTCCCAGCTTTTATTGTCATTACACTGTAAAACGTACCGAGCAACGAAATGAACTCTCTGCATTTAACCCATCCCCTTGGGAAGCAGTGTGGGGTTAAGGACCCAGAGTGGCAGGCCTTGAGAGTGAGGCTTTGAACCTCAGGATTCCAGGTGCAATGCCCTAACCACTAGGCCGCCACTCCCAAAAACAGGTATTAGCGTGAAGCGTCTTGCCTGAGGACCCACACTGGCAGCTCATTCCCGCCAGCTGGGATATGATCCCAGGCTTCCTGTTTGTAGGTAACCAACTGCTCGTATTTTGGGTAGAAATGTGAAAGCTGGTTATGAATTTATAGTAGATAGATACAATAGGCAGACCATGGATGGCACATTATTGACTGATGCCTGACTGCCTAAAGAACAGATGGGCATAAAGAGAGAAATAAATAATTAAACCCATTTACTAGGGATGCACCTATCCACTTTTTTCACCTCCGATACGATACCGATATTTGAAGTTTAATATCGGCCGATACCGATCCGATACAGATACCAAAAACTGCACTGAATTATTACCTAAAAAAGGGTTTTAGTGTGTAAAAAAAAACAAAAAAAAACTGGGATCCTTCTTCTGTGCTTATGATTAGACTTCCCTTTTCTTAAAAAAAATAGGAAACAATCCAAATATAAATGTTATGACAAATTTATTTAACAACTATGCACACAATCTTAAACCAAATAAAGTGTCATTATCAAGTATCATCTCTCTGATTTTTTTGGCCTGTATACTGTTACATGGAAAAATTTCACTTCTTTCCTTTGCTTCCGAAGAAGTTAGCTGCTTCCCGCTGCTTCCTTTTTGTCTGCCGAGTCCGATAATCACAGCATCTTCCTTGTTATGACACTTCCGGAGGTGTTTCATTAAGCTGGTGGTGTTATAATTTGAAGATTTAACCCTCGGAACATTTCTCCCACAAATATTGCAAATATTACTAGCCATTGGGCTAGTAGGCTGAGAGAGCGTGAAAAAACCTCCACACCGCAGATCCTTTCGCTCGCTCCACCATAAACAATATGGCCATTGTGTTGTTGCAGTGCCGCATGATGGCAGAGCAGAGCATAGAGTTAGAATGAATAGATCGGCTTGTCACCGATACCAATCTAGTTCCCCCCCCCTTATATTTAGACTAGGGATGGGACGATTTATGAAAACCGTCAGAATCGTTCGGTTCGACTGTCTCGGTTCGGTTCGCGTGTGTTTCGTTCGGTTCATGCGCTGCTCCTTTTTCTCATAGAGGAAGCGATTACACTCCAGAGCAGAAGGTGGCGGTACTGCGACCAAAGCCAACCGCCAGTAGTAAACAAGAAGAAGAAGAAGCGAAGCAGCTTAGCAGGGAAAAAAATCAGTTGTTGTGGAGAATTGTGTCGGACTGGCGAGTGGGAAAGAACAGGAGTTGGAAGACGCGCCAGCAGCACTTTATAGGTCTGCTGTATGGGAGCGCTTTGCATTTAGAGTGACCTACGATGACGGCGGAAAGAAAGCTGTGGATAAAAGTGCAACAGTGTGCAAGCATTGTGCAACACGTTTTGTTTATGCTAACAGTAACATGTCATGCTAACCCCGAAATCCCTGATACTCCGTCAGCAACCCCCGCTCCGCCCCACTGCGCTCCAGACCGGCTGCTCAAAGCAAAGCCTACGGCCCCCACTGTGGCTTCATCTGCTCCCCTCTGAGTTTCTTGGAGATGGTAGAGAGCATGTAACCTGACAACAGCCAGATGCATGTCTCGCTCCGCGGAGCGAGACATGCATCTGGCTGTTGTCAGGTTAGAGAGCATGCGCGAGATGATTAAATTTAAAGCAGCAAAACATACGGAAATGATCCAGGGTTTCCGCGGATCATTTAAAATAATTACAATCCATTATTTTTGGGGGGATTTTTTCATTAATTTCATAATTTTTTATGGGATTTCGGTGTAACAATCAACATGTATCGAATCGAACCGAAAACCGTGACCAGAAACCGTGAGTCGAACCGAACCGTGGATTTTGTGAACCGTTCCACCCCTAATTTAGACTGATACACATATCGGATTGGTGCATCGCTACCATTTACACTGAAAAGAAAGCTAAATGAGACAGAGGATGACAGTGACCCTAAGCTACACTGCTGAGGAGCTCCAAGGAACAATAAAACAAACCAGATATTTTCTCTGGTTAAATTCTACATAGTACACTGGATGCAGAGACGCAATCTGTTGCTTATTTTGGTAAGTTTAATTTTAAATCGTTGCGATTTTATTACCCAAGATAATAAATGCAACTAATGATTATTTTGCAAATTGATTAATAATCAAAAGGACTAAATGCAAAATGTGTTTTTTTTTATCTTAAATGCAAAACGTGTTTTTTTTTTTTATCTTAAATGCAAAACGTGTTTTTTTTATATCTTAAATGCAAAACGTGTTTTTTTTTTTATCTTAAATGCAAAATGTGTTTTTTTTTATCTTAAATGCAAAATCTTTTTTTTTACTCTTAAATGCAGAATCAGTTTTTTTAATCTTAAATGCAAAATCTGTTTTTTTATTATCTTAAATGTAAAATCTTTTTTTTTTACTCTTAAATGCAGAATCAGTTTTTTTTTATCTTAAATGCAAAATCTGTTTTTTTATTATCTTAAATGCAAAATCTGTTTTTTTAATCTAAAATGCAAAATGTGTTTTTTTTTTTTGCTTTTTTTTTTTTTTTTTTTTTTTAACAGTTTTGATATTATTACTGCTCCAAGTAAATTTCCTCTGTACAAGAATATTTTACAGTCTTTACTCCAGTTAACGATTATTCAATAGTTGACTGTTGAATAAACGGCAGACAGACCTGGCAGCAGATGTCGAAAATCTGTGACGTATTCCTCAGACCACTCCCTCTTCCTGTTGCAGGCCACTTCCATCTCGAACGGCGTCACCACGGGTTTGTAAAACTCACTGGAGTCCAGCAGCGAGTTCTCCGGACATGCAATCAGCACAAAGATGTCGATCTCCAGGAAGTTTGCCAACTTAGGAACGTTGAGCTTCCCCATGGCAAACATGTAGCTCTTCTTGCCGGCCCGCCGTAGAGTCTCTTTGAGCTGCTGGATGACGGCGAGGTAGTCGGCGACGCCCAGGGTGCCAACGAGGATCCCGACCACGTTGGCGTCTTTGGCCCTTTCAATGGCATAATAGCGCTTCATTAGAGCACGGTTGACGTTAACAGATTCGGTCCTTCCCTTCATTGATACGGGATCAAAAGAGCAGAAGGAGCAGCGATTCCAGGTCATCATGAAGTTTCGTAATGTGGCGCCCTCCTGGCCCACATAGAACATCTGGTAATCCGTCAGAGAGGAACCGACTTTTAAGGAGAACTGCTGTCCGAAATGACAAACCACCTGGCTGTTTTCATCCTGAATAGGACAGGTTTGGTTATTTTGTCGTTTAGTCCGTCCATGACTGAAGCACTGCTCCCCTTCAACGACAAGCTCAGTGGCTGTAAGGTTTGGATACTCTGGTAAGAGGAGTTTTAGAAGATCGCCTAAAAAAAAGTAAGGACAAAAATTAGCTTTGAGCAGAAGTTCTAACAGATAAAAGCAAGAAAAACGTACCGATTGCGTGATCGTAGTTGACATCATGAAGGAGGAGGATGTTCATCTGTGTGTCCTGGTAAAGCTCCCTGAAAGAAGCGGCGCACATCTCCACATCGAGGGGCCTTTTCTCAAAGACGTACATGACGGGAAGCCGTTTGGACGGACTGAGGCAGGCGCCGCCGTAGTGCACTATGCAGTCAGCTCCCACGTGTTCTGCTGCCACCTCGTCAACACAGCAGCTGCACAGGACAATTCGAAGACAGAGAGGAGGTCACACAAACAGATTTAATTCATTGTAGACTAGAAATTAATCACAACAAACAAGATGTTCTGTAATAAAGATTCTTATAGGTAAATAATGACAACCCTCTGCAGCTCCTTGGAAGAGAACTCATCCTCTTGTCTTTTATTGAGATATTGATGAAAACAAAGTAGTGCAAATTTGCATTTCCAAAAGGAAAACAATGCATCCTTTTAGCATTTTTCTATTGATAACAATCTGAAAGGTGTGGAGTGCTTTTGAACTCAGCTTCTTTTAGCAGACATTCTGTAGAACCGTCTGCTGCTGCAGTTCCAGGAGCATGCCTGCATTAAAGGTAGCTCTATTTGCTAAATCGCTCATTAGCTCTCGGGACAATGCTATTATGGTAACAGAAACAGAGGTTGCGATAACACAAGAGTTTCCTTGATATCACTGAAGCTTCCAGTAAACCTACTTTGTGAAAAAAGCCTCAGTTTTCAGTCTTGGATGCATGTTCAATGTTTGTTGACCTATAGAAATGTGAACATCTGTCTGAATCTTTGGCAGCATCTTTGAAAAAGGTTTTCTTCAAGTACTACCCTGCATCTATCTCCTCTTCACCTCAGACAATCTTCCCTTACCCTGCAAAAGTAAAATATTCCCTCAGCATAATACCGCCACCACCTTATCAAACTGTTTGGATGGTTTATTAAAGCCCAACACCAACTGTGGTCTTAGCAGTCCAAAGCATCCTTTTCCATATGTTTAAGCATGCATAAGTTTGGGCAACACTGGAAAAAAAAAAAAGACTTGTCTCTTGGTGCTTTTCCTGCCTTACTACTATAGATCTATGTTTATAGACTGTAGGTTTTGTCACCAGATTCCTAATTTGTTTTCTCTCAGGATCTCTGCAGCTTCATACTTCATATTAACGTAACAACATAATACAGAAATGTTAAAGGTGTATAAAATACTGTTGCCAGGAATGGCATCAATAAAGAAATGTCACATTTCCCACAAATGTAAACAGTACCTTCCATACGACGTATCTCCCAAAATAAATGTTTTGGTTTGAGTGTTTCTCTCGATCTCTGCAGCCACTGCTGCTGAATCAACCAGCAGCTCGTCAGGAAACTGCAAAGCGACCTGAAAAGAAAAAACAAACATATGCATTTTAAAACTATGTTAAAGAGTTTCCAATCATTTCCCAAAAACTATTTTATTACCCCACATGACTTTGTTAATTATGGAAGAGGATTAGAGCCACTGAAAAAATGAAAAAGTAAACTGATTTTTACATTTTATTTCTGTATAATATGAAAGGAACAATTCTCAGAATTATGACTTTTTCCCTGAGAATTATGACTTCTTCCTCAGAATTCTGACTTTTTCCTCAAAATTCTGACTTCTTCCTCAAAATTCTGGACTTTTATCTCAAAATTCTGGACTTTTATCTCAAAATTCTGGACTTTTATCTCAAAATTCTGGACTTTTATCTCAAAATTCTGGACTTTTATCACAGAATTCTGACTTATTTTTCTCAGAATTCTGACTTTTTCCCCCCCATATTCCAGTGAAATAATATTTAAAAATCTGTTAACGTTTTTTATTTTTTCAGTGGCCCTAATCCTCTTCCGTAGTTAATGCATTAAGCCACCAGTTAAATGCTAAGGGCCATTTAACTAAATGCTGAGGGATTATAATTCTATTATATTCAACGTATGTAGTTATAGATATCCTTGATTGTCGATTTTCCCCCCCTCTCTTTTTGAAGTGTATTGCATAAACTTAACATCTGTTTACCTCGCAACTTGAACGAAAAGAAAAAATATTAAGAAAAGTGTTAGGAGGTATGATTGACTATATGTTGTGCTTTATTACACTGTATTAATTGAGTTTGTCATTGTTACTGTTCCAAATAAAGTTATAAAAAAAAAAAAAACTAAATGCTGAGGGCCTCACCTTTCCATAGCTGTGCTCCTTTATGAACGCACATGTCTTCAGGATCTCGTATAAATCGAGGAGTTTTTCGGCCGGAGTGTTTTCCTTCAGGTTAACGTCAACCACTCGCTGAATCACGGTGTCTGAGCTGCTACTGAACGCATCAGCCATGATAGCAGACAGCTAACGATGTCTAAGAAAACACAACAAACACTCCAAGGCTAAAACAGATAAGTCAACCTAAAACAGTTAGTGCTAGCTAAATAAAGCAGCATGTCTGATTGAATAAAAAATGAACACGTAAATACAAACACCAGCTGTCAACGGCTGGAGTTTCTATATAAAATATGACTTTCAGACAGATTTCATGCAGGTAGATTTTTCTGTAAATGCCTGTAGAACTAAACACGTGTCTAGAGTTCAACCGGAAATGTGACAGAAGCGCTTCCGGTTTAAATGTTTTTCAAAATAAAACTCAAGTCGCCCGAGCTCTGGATCAGAATCCTGAATCAGAATCAGAATAAGAAATACTTTAATAATCCCAGAGGGAAATTACTTAGGATCGAGAGGGGACCTTCTATACCTCGGGGGCCCATAGTATTTATTAGAAAAACTTCTAAAGAGGAGCATCAAATTTGTGAATCTTAAAAAAAACCAATAGGAGAGTCTTATAAACTATAATAGTACAGCTTATTTGTCTTTGCAAACATTTGCAGGTTATTCACTTATGTTTAGTTTTCAAATACATAATTAGATTTATACATTTTCAAAATAAATTGAGAAAATACATTCCAATACAACTTAATTAGGTTGCATTATAAATAATAATTTTGGCACTGCTTATGGATTTGACTCAAATTTACTTTTTTTTAATACAATGCTAAATTCCCTATTTGGAATTTAAGCAGAAAGATCCCCTTAAATCAGCTCTCCAATTTCTCACCAAAAATCCAGAACATGTACAGCATTGAAAACAAAATGATTTATAACAAATTAAATTCTTGACAAACATGGCAATCTGTTTTTTGTTGGATACGGTTATATTTAATCGGATTTAATACTCAGATCAAAGGCCAGTTAATTTGTGACACGCTCTCCTTGTAAATAACATAAGAATCTCTACACATGTAAATATTATTGCATACATTTTAAGATTTGCCCTGTTGCCATTTCTTGGCAAAAAGTTGCACTATCTTTCCTCTACTTTTAATAAGCCAGTGCAATCTGTATTTGTTTATTTAAATGATAAATTTCCAAACATAGTTATTAACATGTATGTTCATGCGTGAAACCGTATTACCAAAACAAATTCCACATGTAAAAAAGTACTAAGGAATAAAGCTTCTTTCAGTTCTGTAAAAGCAACATAATAGCTGGGATAAGAGGACATAGAAGTTAAAAACAGTGCAAAAATAAAAAGTAAATCACAATGATCAATTTAAATCAAATATATTTTTATTGTTTCCAAAGATACATTAAAAGTTGGGAGTAACAGTAATTTTTCCATAGATGATGATAGCTGTAGGTAGGAAGGATCGTCTGTCTCATCTTTCATCTAGATCTGAAGAAGCCTTTGACTGAAGACACTCTGTTGAGGTTTTAGCGGTCTTCTAAAGAAGATGCTCAGGGTTCTCCGTCATGTTTTATTTTTCATTTAATGAAGAATTAGTCTTTGTGAAATAATCTTTAGAGGTTCTAGAGGAGTTTCTAGAACAGAGCCGACCTTAAATAAACATTAAACCACAAAGAGAGAGATAAAAAAAAAAAAAGACATAAGGAATTGAAAAAGGACTAGAGATACATCCTCCTTCAATTTATCCTGCATCTACAAAAAAAAAATAAAAAATTTGGATTAGGAAGATATTTGGCCCCCCAAAATGCTTAAAATCTAGAGGTTTGGTTACATTTAGGCAGTTTGATCAGCTGGGAATCAAAACCATATTAGGGTGATGACAAGTTTGGCTCATGGCAGCTATTATTTTAATTAGATAAAGTAAAATAGAATGAGGGGGGTGCATGGGTAGTCAGTGCAACCCACACATATGGAGGTATTAGCCCTGGTTCTGATTGCGACCTTCTGCATGTCTTTCTGTTCGTTTATTTTAAATAGGTTACTAGTGCCACACCAAACTAAGATTACAAATCAAATCAAACAATATGCAAAAAAATACCCTGAACACTTCTCAGTTATATATTTACAACTTTACATGCATAAAATATTTACAGAATAAAATACATTTAATACAAATAAAGGTAATAAATTGGCTTTGCTGTTAAGAAAGTTAGCAAAAAAGATAAAGAAGCAGATCCTTTTTATTTATCAAAATGAGTGAAAACTATTTAAATAAAAAAAGCCAAACTTTTTAAAATCACATAAAACAAATGCTTTTAAGATATCCTGTAGTTATATGCATAAATATCTTTTTGCAGTGATATTTGCATCACAATATCCTTCAGGTTCCTAATGGCGCCTTGAGTGCATTGGCAACAAAACAGCCAGCGAAGCTCCAAAGGTTCATTTCTACCTCCATAAGCTTGACCATACTCCAGTCAGAGGTCACAGAGTGGACATGAATAAATGTTACCAGGAAAATTAGTGCATTGAGAGACTCAGACTGACCCACTGCACCGTCTGTAACCAAGAGAAAACGTCAATTCTCTTAATTAGCACAACTGGTTTTTACAGATAAGTTAATTAAGGTGGGAGGAGACCACATAAAACCAGAATGGGAGAAAAGGAGGAGATTCCCTGGTGAGTGTTGTTCCCATTTGGACTCTCCCTAAACAGAACACATCCACAAACCTTTCCTTCGCCACATTAGGAATGAAACACAATAAATGAGATCCAACATGATAAAGCTGTTCTTTGGTCGTAGGCTTCCACAAAGGAGCGCTCATCAACTCTTGGTCACATCCAAATACGATAAAATCCCAAGACTACAGTGAGACAGGTGAACACGGAGCCTGAAAGATCAAGAACAAAATGGAAGAAGTCATATGGGTTAAGTCGGAAAACACCAGATACAAAAGCAAGAAATGAAGCAAAACATCATAACCATTTTGGGCTGTTTTTTTTTATTTTGCTTTGCAAATAAAAAAACAAAGTACATTATTTTCTAGTGTTGCACCGATACCAGTATCGGGCAGGGCCCCGATCCAGCATTAAAATGGTGGCATCGGTATCGGTGAGTACCAACTAATAAGGCACTGATACTATTTTAAGAGCCAAAAGTTTATTCAACTATTGTCACCTATTCCAGTTAGGCAATAAAAAGTTCTACTGGATTCACTTTGTTTTAGTCTTTTTCCTGCTTCTCAAAGGTAGGCAGCAGCTTGACAAAGCCATGATGGCAATTATTTTACATCCAAATAGTATGCAGTTCTTCATATACACACACACACACACACACACACCAGTTTCAAACAGATGGTATCAGCCAATACTGCAGAGTCAGGTATCGGTATCGGGGCCAAAAATGGCATCAGTGCAACACTATTATACCCTATTTACACTACCCTTGAAAAACCGCGCTGAGACCGGTCCGAGCTCAGTAACTGAGATAACTTATCGTGTGTAAATGGAAAGCAAACTGAATGCTGATGAAGATTCCCAGTCATCCAGGTCATAGTCATTCCGTTAAAGTAAAAAAAATATCCACTGGACTTGGTTTCCAAGATTTGAAGACGTTTTGCCACCTCTCCAGGAAGCTTTCTCAATTTAAATGTCTGGATCCACAGTGAGTTTGAGTCTTATATAGACAAAGCCTTGTATCGCTTGGAAACATGCAATGGTAACTGATGAATGGGTCGTTTGGTTCCATTGTTAGCCTGTAATATCTGAAACCTGTCTATGATTGTTAAGGGTCGGTCGTTAAAGGGGTATTGTTCACCGGCTGGAGCGGGTAAGTGCTTCGTTCCTATGTGATGGGGTGGGGGGTGTGGTGATATCTGGAAGGGATCATGTCAATGATTGAATTGTATGACTGAACTGAACCGAGCTAGACACAACCGGACCGAGCTAACTGCAGACCAGTTCCAGAGGTTCACTCGGCTCGGTTTTTCCCTGGCTCGGTTCTCCTATAACAAGAGTGCATGAGCAGAACGTGTCATCTCCATCTGGCTGCACATCGCAATTCACACTCCATTCCAATAGTTGGCGGTAATGCCCCTCCGGAAACAGAAGAAGAAGAACAACTTCTTCAACTATAAACAACAATCGAAATCTTCTCCACGCAACATTTTAAATAATAACACCGAAGTACAGCAATAATAATGAAGCATAACTTTCTGAAGGTGACGGGCGCCGCCATTTGATTTGCTTGATTCCCTCCTTCTTCGTCTTCTTCTTCTTGTGTTTTATGGCGGTGGGCAAACAACTTTTGGTGCATTACCGCCACCAACTGCTTGATTTCCTCCTTTAATACTGGCAGTATTAAAGGAGGAAATCGAGGAACCGAGATAGCGTGGTGTGTAAACGGTCGTCAGAATCGAGCTCAGCCTGGTTAACTGATCCGAGCTGATCGGTCTCGGCATGGATCGGTTTTTCAAGGGTAGTGTAAATGGGGTATTATTTTCCAAAGGTTGCAAACAGCTTCCCAACAGTAAAGTTTAAAGCACAGTTGAGAAATCCCAAACTATTTTAACAAACTATGCATTGTCTTACCTGCAAGGTATTTGATAGTATCCAGTTTATGAGACTCCAACATGGTTTTTAAACCAGCCACCTCCGTGTCGATTTTCATGTTTGTATGGGTCAGATGGCGATCCTGCTCTGCTGTCTGCACCAAATGGCAATAAAGACAAGGAAAAAAAAACATTTTTAATATAATAAAAACGTTCAAAAAACAACCCAAAATCTGCATGTTTTAGAACAGAAAGAAAATTACAGTTTGTAACGATTCTTAAAAGGGGAAAAATTAATACAAACCATTTCCAGAATCTCAGTTCTTGTTTCCAGAAGCCTCTTCTCATGCTCCGCTTTCTGAAAATGTAAGGATTTATTTTTTATAATGTAATTAAAAAGAGCGAGGGTTAGATGATTTCTTTAAAACTTCACATGAAGAACCTTTCTTCAGTTACTCTAACAAATACATTTCAAGGTGAGGATACTAAGAATGTTTGTGGAACTTCAGTCTTATTCGCTGTGAAATGAAAAAAGGCAGAAGAGGTTTTTGTAGAAGCTAAAAGTCACTGTTTTCAGCGTGTGGTGTTATTTCTGCTACAGGAGAGGCAGTGATTTTAAGTTGTTGCACTTCAAGCTGGTTAGGTAAACTAGTTAAAGTGGTCATAACAGTTGTTTGGAAGGTCAGAGTTAATTCAGTATCTTTTATAACATTATAAGCCCATTCATTCATTTTCAACACACTGACTATAGATGTTCTGATCCATATTTATTCATTCAGTTTAACATATACGGATATTGCACCTTTGAGCGTTGATCGATTCTGATATTGGCCCGCTAACATATTAGCATGAATTATTCATACTTATTTTATAGTGTGAAATGTTGAAAAGGTTTAAAATGACCCAATTATTATTAACCAACACTTACATAAACTTTAGATGGATGCAGATGGTTTTTAACAGAATGCCAATATCAGATATTTTAGGTCCTGGCTGATATAATCAGATATAATTTTTTTGCTGTATAATCAGACCGATATCGATATTGGACTTCCCTAATCGACTGGGGTAATGATTCGGTCACAGATTCATCACTGCAGCAGACCAGAAACGTGTTAAGTAGCTTTAAGAAAAAAAAAGTCACTCAATAAAACTCTGTTATGACATGGCAGCCCATTAGATTGAACCAGTCACAGAGACACTGTGAGAATAAATAAAAAAATTAATAAGCTAAAATATATTTTTTAACTTAACAGTTTGTCTTAATGGGTACATTTCGTTATTTGATGAAATATTTAATTATTTATTTATAACATCCATCCATTTTCTTTACACGCTTGTCCCAAGTGGGGTCGTGAGGGGTGCTGGTGCCTATCTGCAGCTGTCAATGGGCGAGAGGCGGGGTTCACCCTGGACGGGTCACCAGTCCATCGCAGGGCAACAGAGACAAACAGAACAAACAATCATTCACACACACCTAAGGAGAATTTAGAGAAGACAATTATCCTAACAGTCATGTTTTTGAAGTGTAGGAGGAAACCGGAGTACCCAGGGTACCCACACATGCTCAGGGAGAACATGCAAACTCCATGCAAAAAGACTCCGGGCCCGGAATCGAACCCGGAACCGTCCTGCTGCAAGGCAGCAGTGCTACTCACTGCTCCACTGAGCAGCCCTTTTAAATAACAACATTTATGAATTCAGTCGTGATTAAAAAATGTTTCTGTGGGGTGTGCAGGTGCTGCAGTGGTTAGGGTGCATGACCTATATATGGAGGCCTTACTCCTCGACGCAGCCGACCCGGGTTCGAATCCGACCTGTGGTCCTTTGCTGCATGTCTCTCCCCCTCTGTTATACCCCCTTTAATGTCGGCCTACTGTTGAAAAAAATGAGCCACTAGTGCCGTAAAAACTAAAAAAGGTTTTGTACGCCTCAACTACATAGAGGAAACGAGTTTAGTGTCAATTAGGGCTGGGCGATAAGACGATACATATCGTACAGACGATAGAAAAGTGTCTATCGTGCTAAATCTTTTGTATCGTTTCTAACACAATTGTATCTCGTATTCAAGCAAATATTTTCCATGGTGGACTATGACGAATGTGTTAGTGTAGCCATGTAGCCTACACACAGCTTATAAGTGATAAACAAGATTTTTTTTTTTATCCACAAAGAAGCGCCGTCCTCTGGTTTTGCAACTTGACTCTTCTTTACGGCTTTTGTCTCACACGCGGGTTTATGACATGCATTACATTACTTAACTCATGAGAGATGTAGACGCAGGAGGCTGAAGTATTAAACCCGTGGTCGCGACAAACAGAGACACCTACGCAGGCAACCCAAGATGAAGAAATTTTACCAAAAAGAGGGGACTCGTCTGTGATTTGGTTACATTTTGGATTTAAGAAGTCCAACACGGAGCAGACAACGGTTATTTGCAAACTATGCTACAGTACTGTTCCCTTACCCGACAGCAACATGACAAACCTCTTCTATCACCTAAAGAACCACAGTAATTTAATTTAAATACCGGTAGGATTTTGAAACAATGTGAAGGATACTGTAGCCCTACCTCCGCCTCATCTTATGCATATATATTGCTGTACTACAATTTATTTTTCTATAAATGTCACTTCAAAATAAAGTTAAAAAAGTAAGCAATTATATTGCTCAGAGACCCGGAGTGCAGGCTGTGGGGGTACTTGCAGCACAAGCGCACTGCTGTAACCACTAGGCCGTAAACTCCCCAACCTCTTTTTTATTGTATTTATTTATTTCTTTAAGTAATAATAGACTCTACTTTAACTCTACTGTATCCCAGCTTCCCTCTTAAGTGTCCTATTATTAATCAGTTAAACACTGTTCAAAAAATTTAAAAAGGTTTTCCATAAAATCATAAAAAACTCAATTTGAAACCTATAAATTGGTAGAATGTCAGTTTTTTTTTTTATCCATTTCTGAAGTATATGGATCTGATTTCCATTAGCCTTATCTGACAGATTATACCTGTTGTTTCTTTTTGGGGGAAAGCTACCAGCATAGAAGTTGAAACAATTGTCAAAAACGATTATTTAAGTGCAGAAATGAGGTGGATCCTCAGTTTTCTGTGCCAGGATATGTACCAGTATATTATAAGTTTACCGTATAGACCTTTGTACAGCAGTAAGATTAATCTTAATCTTAGAACTTACCAGTTCCTTTACACGACTTTTCTCCCAGTTCAGGTCCATAATATTATCTGAGCGTACTTTATTCATTACATCCTGCCGGATGGGAGAGATGAAGGCAGACAATGCTGAATAAATACTTTTAAATAATCTAAACCAAATGAAAAAAGACAAGATTATGCTTCAAACAATGTTTCTGGAGATGTAAAAAAAAAACTGCAGCTTTAAAAAAAAAAAAAATAACTACTTACAGCCAGTTGGACCTTGAGCTGTAATAATTGGTTCTTGAGTTTCTGTAGAAATGTTAAAATACTTAAACCATCAGACCAGAAACATATGGAAAACAAATGAAAAATTAAGAAATACTCCAGTCATTCAGATTATTCCCTATAATAAAAGGTAGACAGTCATCCTATCCTATTACGTGCACAATTTAAACCATTATAAACCATTTTTTAAATGGAGAAAATAAAAATAATAATTTCTAAAATAGCAACATAGTTAGATCCTGACTTATTGCTGCTGCTGCTTGGATCTCACATTTTTCCAGCTGAAAAAAGCTTGATAATTAGTCTTACCTCGTTCTCAGCTAGAAGGGTGGAGAACTCGCTCTTCTCTAAGATAACCATGTCCTTCTTTACAGAAGCAATTTTAGACATTACTTGCTGCAACATGATTTCCTGAAAAAAAAAAGATTATTCATTAAAAAGAATCCCAATTCAAAGGAAGATAACCTGTGTATGCTACAACTAGGTGTTGCAAGTTATATAAAAAATTAAAAACAAATTCCAAGTTTGTTACTTTAAAATCTTTTAAAATCCAAGTGATGTATAAATATTAAAGGACCAAACAGTGTGTCACCAGGTCTGCATTAATGCTGTCATTGTCAGTTACCTTCTCTATCAACACATCTAACTGCAACTAACGATCATTTTCCAAAATATTAATCTGTTAATTATTTTTCACATTAGTAATTGGATGACAAAAGATTTTAAACAGGATTTAAAGCAAGTGCAGCTTAAATTATTCCACTTTTTTAGTTCTGGATAGAGCATGGTGATGGACAAAAAAAAAAAAAAAAAAATTGGAAATCTCTTCATTCTGATATAAAATGTGAAATTGCGTGAAATCAAGAACCATTGTAGTTGTACGGAAGAGTGTACAACGGAAGTGTTTGAGGTGGCCAGTGACACATTGGTGGAAAATGACGGAATTAGGCAACTTTTTACGTGCCCGAGGGGTCCCCTCATTAATATTTTGCTTACATTTGGCTTTTATGTGTGTGTCTTTGTACGTATGTAATGATGTGATGTAATTTTGATGCCTATCTTGGCCAGGTCTCCCTTGCAAAAGAGATTTTTAATCTCAGTGGGTATTACCTGGTTAAATAAAGGATAAATAAAAATAAAAATAAATAAAATGGAGGAGCAGAAGGTCATTAAAACAAGAGAGCTAGTCTCTAAAACAGACATGGCTACAGCTTGATGCTAACATGTTTATCTGTCAGAATTCTAAGAAAAAAGTCAGAATTCTGAGATTAAAGTCAGAATTCTTAGGAAAAAAAAGTTAGAATTTTGAGATTAAAGTCAGAATTCTGAGATTAAATTTGGAATTATTAGAAAAAAGTTAGAATTTTGAGATTAAAGTCAGAATTCTGAGAAAAAAGTCAGAATTCTGAGATTAGAGTCAGAATTCTGAGATTAAAGTCGGAATTCTTAGGAAAAAAGTTAGAATTTTGAGATTAAAGTCAGAATTCTGAGAAAAAAGTCAGAATTCTGAGATTAAAGTCGGAATGCTTAGGAAAAAAGTTAGAATTTTGAGATTAAAGTCGGAATTCTGAGAAAAAAAGTCGAAATTCTGAGAAAAAAAGTCGGAATTCTGAGAAAAAAGGCGGAATTCTGAGAAAAAAAGTCGGAATTCTGAGAAAAAAAGTCAGAATTCTGAGAAAAAAAAGTCAGAATTCTGAGAATAAAGTCAGAATTCTGAGATTAAAGTCAGAATTCTGAGATCAAAGTCAGAATTCTGAGATCAAAGTCAGAATTCTGAGAATAAGTCAGAATTCCGAGATTAAGTCAGAATTCTGAGAATAAAGTCAGAATTCTGAGATTAAGTCAGAATTCTGAGAATAAAGTCAGAATTCTGGCTTTTTTCCTATGTTAAACTGAAATAAAATTTAAAAATCAGTTAACTTTTTTTTTTTTTTCAGTGGCCCTAATCCTCTTCCATATAGATGGCACTTGAGGTTTACAATGGTAACGTTTTACGCCTAAAGTAAATGGTCTTAATTTCAATAACAATAATCCTAATTTCTGGGTTAAAGTCAGAATTCTGAGATTTAGGCCCCGTCCACACGAAGTCAAAACGAACACGAAACGCTGATATTTTCCAAAACGTTTGCCGTAAAGAAGGAGACATAAAATAAATGTGAGCGTCCACACGAATGCATGAAAACACTGCAAAATGTATGCCAGGCCTGTAAGTGGCGCTGTGGTGCCAAAGCAAAAATAAGCGACGAAATGTTGGGCATGCGCACTAATATTTATACATGGTTGCCCTGCGGGTCCATTTTCGTGGTTCAGTCAAATTCAGGTGCTGAACTATGTCGTCGATATAGCTCTGTTCTTCCTGGAGATATTCCAGAAGAAGATTATGTTGTAAGCCCGACAGCAGGGTGAGTAGCATTTGCAGCAACGGCGCCATTGTTGTTGTGATACTGTGTCGCGCATGCGTGTTTAGAGGCGACGCTATGACGCATAGGTGTAAAAAAAAAAATGCGGTTAGAGCGTAAAGATGGAAACGCGAAAACTACGTTTCGAAATCTTCCCACTCTGAAGGCTGAATAAAAAAAAAGATTGTTTACAGACCCCGGAAACGCCGGCTTCGTGTGGATGAGAGGCTGGTTTGGTTAAAAATTTGTGCGATTAGGCCAGGCTTCGGCTTCGTGTGGACGGGGCCTAAGTCAGAATTCTGAGAATAAAGTCAGAATTCTGAGAAAAAAGTCAGAATTCTGAGATTAAAATCAGAATTCTGAGATTAAGGTCGGAATTCTGAGAAAAAAAGTGGGAATTCTGAGAAAAAAAGTTGGAATTCTGAGAATAAAGTCAGAATTCTGAGAATAAAGTCAGAATTCTGAGATTAAGTCAGAATTCTGACTTTTTTCCTATGTTAAACTGAAATAAAATTTAAAAATCAGTTAACTTTTTTTTTTTTTCAGTGGCCCTAATCCTCTTCCATATAGATGGCACTTGAGGTTTACAATGGTAACGTTTTATGCCTAAAGTAAATGGTCTTAATTTCAATAACAATAATCCTAATTTCTGGGTTAAGAAACCCAGTTTTAAGGTTTCTTTTGTTACATGACTACAGCAGGGATTAAAGCAAAAAAAAAAAATCCTGAGCCTGAACTTTTTCGACACAGACAAGAAACACACACATATATATGAATTTATTTTCAAATGATTTTTTTTTTTTTTACCCCAAGCAATCGCTGGGAGCTGGAGATCCCAGCTAAAGTATGAACAAATATTTTTGTTGTTGTTGTAAAACCGAAACAGAAGTTCAAAGGTTTAAAACTAAAGAGTACTTGAGATATTCTGTCACAATCTTCCTTAGGAAGTCTCACCTGTTGCACCTTGGTCACCATATCACTATAGATAACATCCATAGTAGAGTTTGTTGTTCCAATCAGCACTTTAACCAACACTTCAGCTTGCTGAGTACTAAATCCTGATTAAATAAAGAGGAAAAGATCAGAAAGAGTGTTATATCTTTTATTTTAATACTTAAAAAGTAAATGAAACTGTATGATTTGCTAAGAAAAATAAATGAATAAAACCCAAACCATTTTCCTCAAGGATTCGCACAACTGCATGAGTGTCAAAAAACAGCTTCCGGCCTTCGGTTTTTGGTATGTCTGGTTTTAGATCATACTGGAAGGCCCTGGAAGAAGTATTGAGCTCTGAAACAAAACAAATATAAAGTAAATTAGACTGTTACCAATCCCTACTCAGCATAAACCACCTAGAAAACAGATGGATGAGTTAGTTTTCTAACAGAGACTGTCCACTGTGACAAACACACCTGGAAAATAAGCAACAGAGATGTATTGTGGAAACAGAATGTCCTATATGGGAATGGGTTTACATCAGAAACAGCATCAGGGACACTGTGTCGACTAATGCTTTATTTAAAAAAAAATCACTAATCTAAAATCAGGAGTGTCAAATAACTTTACTTAAGAAGCTTTTGTCAGTATCTATCATTTAGTTTAGATCAGGCATCCCCAAACTCGGTCCTCAAGGCCCCCTGTCCTGCGGGTTTTAGAGGTTTCCTTGCTCCAGCACAGCTGATTTTAATTGAAAGCTGATTAACAGGCTTTTGGTCTACTGCAATCATTATAACCAGCTGTGCTGAAGCAGAGAAACCTCTAAAACCTGCAGGATAGGGGGCCTTGAGGACCGAGTTTGGGGATGCCTGGTTTAGAGTATTTATTTCACATTTACTATTTGAAGACAAATATATGTAATGTTAACACTGATGGTAACATAGATGCAGACAGAGAGCGGATAATACATCAGATCCTCATACAATCATCTTTGTTAGAGTTTAAATCTAAATGTTGATTGTGTTTCAAAAACTATTTTGATTTGACTTTGATATAAAAGCATCCAGCTGCACACACAAAACCTATGATCAGTTAAATATTTATTATCTTATCGAGAATGTTTATTTTTACTTAAATTAAGGTGGAAAATTTTTGACACATTCGCTTACAAAACATTTTCTAATAATAAATAAAAAAATAATAAAAACATGACCTCAACTAACCCCATAAAGAGCTTTTATTTTGAAAGAACCTCCAGCACGAGTTCAGGATTTGGTGGAGTAAAGTGAAACTTCCGTGTTATGAAGTTTAAAAGTGTCCGGGGTAGGTTTAAAGCAGTAAATTACTATATTTAGGATTGAAATAAGTCAAGGGACCAAAGAAAGAAACGAACTTTTACCTCGGACGGAGATGTTTTTCACAGAAGACACATCCGTAACCTTCAGCCCAGGACTTCCTCTCCTTTTCAGTGGCTGCAGGTCAAAGTCCGCCAAACATGCAGAGGATGTTGCAAAGTGGGAAGCTGCTGAGGTGCTAACAGCTGTCAGACTCCACGGAACAAGAGAAATGCTCGATAGAACTGCGGCATTAGCCCTGTTCTGGTTAAGAGAAGCGGGGTCACAGCGCCTCTGTGACTGTTTCAGTCTAATGACCTGCCATGACAGCCGAGACTGGTTTAACACCATGGTCAGCGTGGTTGTTGACAAAACTTATATTTTCCCAAGACTGTAACTCGGTGTGATGAAAGTTTCTGAAGTGTTTACCGTGTCTTTTCGTGTTCTTATCGCCACTTTTCATCCGGTAGCTGACCGATTGTTGGTAAAGATGGCGGTGTCCTGTAGAACTTCCGGTCTTGCCTTTCAAAATAAAGCGCACACCCAACTTCATAGGAACATGTTTGGGTTAGCAATTTGCATGATCACTCTTAGTTCAAAATTCTGTACAGACTTCTCAGGGTATTCATTCTGAAAAAACCGAACTAAAAATATCTGCATATATTTAGTTTTTATTTCACTTTTTATTACAGGCCTCTGTGAGATTGTTCTGCCTATGAAAATAAACTGATTATCTGAAGATGATCTGATTTTCTGATTTTCATAAGAAAGCAACACAGAATTATGATAGATATTATGTTTTATCTTCCTACCTGCATATACATCAACACAGAACAATTAAACCTATGTCACCCCTTTAAAGAAAATAGAATTCCATTTATTGGTTAAATAAAAGTCCACAAAAAAAGGAAAAAATATATCTATCTATCTATGACTTATTAAAAAACTTCTTGTTATTAAAATTTGAGACCCTCAATCATCATTATTTCTTAAGCTTAAAAACATTTGGGGGGGGGGGGGGGGGGGGAATACATTTTATATTAAAAGTATAACATACTCCTTCATTGAATTAGCCATTTTCAGAAAATAAGGTCATGTAATGAACCCCTCAATATTCATTAACTATCAACTCTATTTTATAATGAAAAATTGTCAGCAGATATCCAGCGTAAATCTTTTTCATCATCTTCACATCTTCAAACAAGGCTAAGCTTCCTATTATCTTCCTTAGGTAAACCTATAAGCAGCCACTGTGGATGGCCTAAAGAACTACAGGTTGCAGATCCCTGACCCAGATTAAGAGATTTTGCAAAGATAAATACGGTAATAGATTGGCCACCATTTTAAATAAAAATAAAAAAACTGTATAATTTCCGTAAATAGTGCAATAAAAAAAGGAAGTCCCTTCATCATCTTGTATTTGACGGTGTGAGAAAAATGGAGGATTAAATAGGCTGATATCGCCAAACAAAACATATTATTAAAACAGAACATTTTCACAAGAACTATAAATAAAGGGAAACTGAAGGAAGAAGCAACAAAATTATGTTTTTAAGACAATGTAATTTCGTTTAACAATATGTTGCTTCTATTTCTATTCTGGACAAAAAGCTTTTTTCCCCTTTTCTCCTGTGTTTCACACAGGAAGATCATCGGTAGCGCACTGCCTCCATCAACCGCTTCCTCAGAAAATAATGTACTAAATTTTCTGTAAATAAACCCCCAAATGCTAGCATGATGATAGATGTCGGACACAAGTCCTTTGGTCTTGACTCCATTAAACTAACTAATTTGCATTTTTGTAATATAAATTCACAGGGCAACTTATCGACTGTGGGTAGAAAGCAGCTTATTTTAATTTTAATGAAACACATTAAAAACGTATTTAATTCAGATGTCGCTTGAGATTAAACAAATAGGGAATTAATGTTTCAATCATTTTTGTCCAATTTATTTTGATCTTTTGCAGATTCATTATTAATGTAGACTGAAAAAACAACAACAGGGTTTTGTCAAATTTGATATCTTTATAATCCACAGTAAATGTATTAATATTATAATAGTCCTTTAGAGTGCATATTATTTACAAAATAGTTTACAAATCTATTACATCCTCTACCAAGCATAAGCACCTATGTACTTACATTGGCAACAAGAAAATATAACAAGTGTCCTTCTAGTTTTTTTGTTCCCTCCATTTTTTTCCTTCCATGCATCATAAACCATCAAGCAAACTGTACAGGAAATTCTTTTTTCTTCTTTTTTTTTACATCTAAGGTCTAAACTAATCCAGCGTTCCAGTTGTGGAAGCTATGAACATGGATCTTGGAATAAAGTCAGAGCCAACTTTACATGGGCCAACTTTGAAGCTGCATTCAGTCTATGTCGAGAGGCAGAGCTCGAAGTCCAGTTTGTTCCTGTTGCAAGTTGGAAAACCAGTGAGACAAGCCAGCAACCATGTTTTTCTATTTAGTTGATTTGGTCAAACATGAAAAGGACATGTCCAGAAATTCATTTTTTAAAGTTCTTATGTATACCGTGGTTATATGAGACACAAACTGTGAGAAGATCACATGTCAGCTAACTGATATTTGCAGCTTTTACAAATGCACATGTCCCTGGCAGCCATATTGGATTTTGAGCTGTTAAAAGCACCAAGTCAGACCTCATGGATGTTCTTGATGTTTATACATACATGCCTACACCTTCTTTGCAACTAACCCTTAAAATCCAATTTGTCAACAAAAAGATTCCAGCTTTAGTAAATAGGCTAATAGTTATTAGAATATTATTTCATTCAGACACTCGAAGAGCATTTGTCAGAAAGGTCACAGTGCTCTGTGTGCTATTGATTTAATAAGATAAAATTTAAAGCTGCATTTTTTTTTTTCTTACTTTTACTATGTGTTATGTATGCAGAAGCTGCGTAAGATGCAATGGTACATTTTTTTTAGGGATTTCTGTCCTAAAAGTCCAATAGATTTTCCAAATTATACAGTCTGACAGCATAGTACAAAAATGGAAATGCACCTTAATAATCTGGTCTAGATGATTTCAGATTATGAAAAACATCCTAACTGGCAGACATGCATTTACATGACTAATCTGAACTTAAGAAGCATATGGTAGATTCCAATTAAATGTAAAAATGGGACACTAGCTGGCATATGGATTAAGTCTGGTGTACTGTTTATGAGAAGTTTCCTCAGTCCCTGAAAAATCAGTGAGGGATGTAAATGCAAAGCTTTCCATTTTACAGTCTTACTGAGTATTTTAGTCTGACTGAAAAAGACCAATAAGTTGAATTCATTAAGGTTTTGCTCATGAGAAAAGGAAAACACAGACAGATAAAGTGGTTGCTACGAAAATAACACCAAACAGCAGTAAGAGCACAAATATGTGGCTCCGCGGGCAAAGAGCTTGAGATCCAGTAGCCTGTTGCTCCTCGTCTACTGGAACCAGAGCCATGGAGGCGCTGTCAGTGCTGCTGATTGGGTCTGCATACTGCGGCCCATGGGGCTCCACCATCCAGCGCAGCACGTTGACTTTCATCTCCATGTCATCAATCATGCGGTCGATTTGGTTGATTTCTAGCTCCATGGTGTTGCGTTCTTGGCTCTCGAGGCCTTCAGGGAGTGTTTTTGTCTCAGCCTCATTCATGTCTGGCAAACTCAGAGCCCGAGCTGCTACCTCACTGCATCCTCCTGAGGGGCAAAAGTTAACAAATCTTTCTTCAAATTGATGTCTACAATTTCGATGTTTAAAAATAGTATAAAAAAGGTATTACAGTGTACTTTATAATTATTTCACTGAGATTATGATTCCTTAAAAACATGTTAAAAGCAAGCAAAAAGTTATATCTCAAACAAATAAATACCACTGCAGTTTCAGATTTTTTTCGATGTACTTTATATTGATAACAAAAATCCCAAATCATGCAGTTCTAAACATATGAAAACTAAGTCCTGTGACTTCTTTGAAGTATGGCTGTTCATCCTAGAGCAGCTTTGTTTTCAGTTGTACATACCTATTTAAATTAAGGGTGTAAAACCCACTGCATTATGTCAGAACATGGTACATTACTCCTCTTAGACTCAATTGAGCATATGAATAAAAGCTTTTCTCCAAGTGATGAAGTGATTATTCAAATCAATCATAAAGTAGGTAGGGCCGCCTTCAACTGGAAACACTAAAAAAAATTCACCTGGCAGAATCAATATTCATCAGTGCAGACAGAGTGTTTGCACAGTTTGACATGAGAGCTTGAAAAAGGAGTTCATCTGAACAGTGTTTTGTGCAAATTCTCAGATTCGTATATTTGTGGCACTCTGCAGCATAGATTTGTGCATTTCGAAATGATTCGTGTTAGTGCTGAATAGATGGAGATTAATTGTGTTTAGCTGCATTATTAGGTGCATAAAAAGTATTATCAGAGTATCATTTAAGTGGTTAAATAAGTAAAGTTATTTAACAAATTCACGCAATCTCTGATTAAATCATGCCCTACACTGCAAAAAATAGAAATCTCAATAAGTTATTTTTTCTTAAAATAAGTGTGTTTTTCCTTGATTTGAGGAGGTAAGTAAGACACTTTGCCAATGGAACAAGACAATTTCCTTTTAAAATAAGAAAAAACTATTTTATCCTCTTATTTCAAGTAAATATTATCTAACTATCTTATTTTAAGAGTAAAAATACTCATTCCATTGGCAAATCATCTTATTTATCTACTCAAATTAAGGCTAAATATACTTAATTTAAGCCATTTTTTACTTATTTCTGGATTGTTTTTGCAGTGTAGGCTCTTTACACGCAAAAAAATCAAAATCTTGATAAGTCATTTTTTTCTTAAAATAAGTGCATTTGTTCTTGAATTGAGGAGATAAAAGAGACATCTTGCCAATGGAAATAGACAATTTAGATTTAAAATAAGAAAACACTATTGCATTGTCTTATTTCAAGTGACTATTATCTAATTATCTTATTTTAAGAGTAAAAATATTGATTCCATTGGTAAATTATCTCATTTACCTACTCAAATCAAGGGTAAATACACTTAATTTAAGAAATTTTAATTATTTCTAGATTGTTTTTCAAGTGTATGGTTGTATCTTCACTGGCTGGTATAATCCCAGTCGCCAAAGTTTGGAAGCGGTTGAATAATCTGGCCCATTCAAGTAAGCATTTCAGTTGCAAGTCCCTCTGCCACTGGACATGCATGGTTAATACCATTCCCCAGTCTAGTGTCAAATCAGTGCAACAATAGCGCAATTTACAAACAACAACGATGATTGTCTAGGCTTCAGCAGAACAACTTTTTGTGCCATGTCTTTATTTGTCGTGGGTGGAGACATTTTTCTGTCTACCACCCACTGAATTAAGTGTAATGCCAATGACCCTGCCAGAACCAAACTGACCATTATTCTATGGACCTACCTCAGAGGTAGGACCCTGCAGAGTGCTGTTGAGTTCAGTTGTACGGGCCAGTTTAATAATTGAAAGACTCAAAATGATGAACCAGAAAAGATCCGCACCGACTATAAGTAGACTTTGCATGGACAGTGATAGGTGCAGATTCTTATTTACCTTCTACGCCAGTGTGCACGAGTGATGAGGAGTCAGCCAGTGAAAAAATCCCGCTCATGTTCCAAACTTTGCACATGTCGATGTGTAGAAGCTCTAGAGATGAGGAGAAGGCCACCCAGAGGAGCTCCATCTCCTTACGCTGTCCTTCAGGCAGACTCTTGTCCCGGAGGTGGGTGGTCAGGTGATTGCAGATGTCCCCGGCCAACTTCTGGGCCTTTTCTCTCGTTTGTCGGAGCTCATCGCGAAGCTGCAGGTTGTCCGTGCTCCCACCTACACACGAGGCTAAATGCCGATAACAAGCCACCACCTGCGAGAGGAAGAAATGTCAAACCAGGGTTCAGACAACCATAAAGAGCTGATTTCTGTAGCATACTTTTTTTTTCTTTAAACATGCCCTTAACAAAGGATTCATACACTTTCAGCTTTTTCAAATTTTCAATCACCAACCCTTATTGTGATTAAACCGGATTTGGCTTGATAGGCCAATACAAAGTAGCTCAAGGCTGTAATGAGGAAGACGATACAAGGTGGGCAGTTTTTTCTTTTTGTTTGTTAAACCATTTTCTCTGTAATCATAGCTGTAGATCTTTTTGGCTTTGTCTCTACTGGCTATGCACATCAACAGAAAGAAATTCCAAGAAGTAAGCCAGATTAAATGGAGAACATCGTGGAATAAACATTGCAACTTATCTGCAATTAATTTAGTTTCCAGCTTTAACTGAACCTTTGTAACATAAATATCTATTGTTCTAAACCAGTCCCTTATAGCTATGGCTTTAGTTTAGCATAATTTTTCCACTAGAACCTCCGTCCGAAGCTCCATCCATGTCTCCATCAACTCTGAAAAGCTTCTCTGATAGCATCCCCACAACATGATGCTACCACCACTATGTCTTATAGTGGGCGTGGTGTTTGAGGCTAGTGTTTAGCATTAGTTTTCTAATGGAAATATTCAGTTATAACCTAAAAGTCAATTTTAGGTCAAATCTATCTTCAAGCCCTGCATATGTGACTATTTATGGCTTTTTCCTAGCATATTTATGTCTGCCACTTTTCCATAAATGCCTAAGTTGGAGAAAATAGAAATAATACTTGTCCAGCGCAGAGATTTACCAACCTGTTTATGAAAACTACCTCCATAGCACTCTGTTAAGGCTGATAAATAGTCTATACCTCAACTTTTAAAATGTCTTTGATGGTTAGCAGCCATATTGGAATGTGGCTAGTCGCAATTCCCAATTCAATTATTTATATTTCTATCTGTAAAATATTTTGATAGATATGTACATTTATTTACTTTCTCTTAACTAAGCCCATTGAAGTCTGAGGTTGCATTGTGACAAAATGCGGAAAAGCCCAATGGGTGGAAGTGTCTTTGCAAGGCCCTTTGCATAAGCACCGATATGCTCTGGCACTTCACGTCACATAAACCACAGGACCAGTAATCTTCTTTAAACATAGTCCATCTATTAGTCATCTTAGCAACTACATAAACGACACAAATTCAAAAACGCATGACTACAGCTAAATACATGTAAGCAGCAGAGTAAGAATATCGTAAATCTAATAAAATCTTTGACTTTTAGACACAAATCTTACCGACAAAACATTTGAAGCCTATTCTACAAAGTTCTAGAGAGTCTGAAAAAAGACACATTTCCAATGAAATGACATTCATCATGAAGTTAGTGGGTTTTATTTATAGTTATTAGGTTAACCTCAGGCGATTAGCAGCAGTGGTTTCATTCATTAAAAATATTAGATATAATCTCATTATCATGGAGCTATTTGTAGATAAGCCAAAACAACCTTGCAGACCAGAGTACGAGTGGCCCTTTTTTTGAGATGCAATACAATAAAAAACAAACAAAACTCCCCTTTATTTTAACAGTCAGCCTTATTATCTTTAAATGTACTATTTTTAATCACTAAAATATGTAGCTTCGATTATTTAAACAATCAAAGGTTTGGTTATTCAAAGAAGACAGCGCTGAGAATTAACATGATTTACATTTTAAACTCAATTTAAAGGTTAATTTTCAGTTGGTTTTCTGCTGTTATTTAAAAGGGCGGCTCTTAGCACTAATAAAACATTGATTTTAATGAGATGGAAGATATAAAATGGTTTAAACTTGATCTTTACAGACAAAAGTATAAGACACTGTTCAAAATAACAGGAATATTTGATGTCAAGTGGGGGGACAGAATTGCATGGCATTACTATGGCATCACTTAATAGAGGAACCATAAAGATGCAGTGGACCAGCAGATTCTTTTTAAAGAGAGTGCTCTTTTAGCTGCAGGGGGGAAAAGATTCTTCTGTTTTTGTGTCATGTCTGGACATATTCCATGGATAAAGATGGAAATAAAAATAGCAAAATATGTATTAGTTTTAATACATATTCCAATAATAATGCAATAAAACTCTTTATGAAACAAAGTTCTTAAGATAAATCCCTAAAAAAAAATCACAAAAAGATACATTTGTGGTCATTTCAATTCTTTTTTCTTTTCTAATGCTGAGAGGAACCATACATATTGTGCTAGAATTGGGTCACCCATTGACTTTAGCAGTAAAACATTAATAAAAGCCTGCTGTAGCTTACCTTTATCAAAGAATCCACCAAAGCCTGTCCATCGGCCAAAGCCTTGTCTCCGCTTGCTGTGCAATCATCGCCAACTTTGTTATTTACAAGTGGCATGAGGATGATTTGCACAGAGTCTCAGACTCTGCCACAGCAGGCGAGATTTCGGCCCCTCTGCCCTTCACTTCTCTGGCTGCCCCTGCTCCTCTTGTCTCACTGGAAGATGCTTCATTCAGCGCCTCAGAGCCTGGATGCGCTCAGTCCCAAGGCAGCATGTTGCAGAGTGAAATACCCCATCTGCAAATAAACTGCAATTACACGCGCAGAACATGCTTTTGGAGGCCAGAGCGGGAAAGTCCAAGCAATAAAGAAAAAGTATAATAAACTGATGTAACTCTTAAGCAAGGTGCTAATCCTGTGATTGACCCCTTTGCACTGACGCAGGCTAAGACGGACTGCTAATCTCATTAACCATCACCGAGAGATAGGAGAGCAGCTGGCAGTCTATACCACAATGCTCCTTTCACTAACTGAGGAGGCTTGGCTCCGTTTCCTCAAGCGCTCCACAGACTACACCTCCTTCACTCATCTGTAAAGGTCAACCCTCTGCATGAAACATGCAGACTTTCCAGGGGTAGGGTTGTTAGTATACTGCATAGAATAAAATGTTAGTAAAATAGTAAGCAAAGATGGAGTTTTTCTTAACTTATTAACATGTCTCCTTTTTTCCCAATGACCTGACAAAGATACCTAGATAAAAACCAGTGTGACACAATATTTCAGAAGAAGACAAATTAGCAAAAAGTCTCCACTGCTATTAAATGTAATCTAAATAAACCAAGCAGCGGGGAGTGTTGGCCTAGTGGTTAGAGCAGTGCGCTTGTGCTCTGAGAAGGTTGCCTTCCCCGGTTCGATCCCCACAGCATGCACTCTGTGTCCTTGAGCAAAGACCCTTAACCCCACACTGCTCCCCAGGCGCTGCGCAATGGCAGCCAACTGGTCCCCAAGGAGCTGGGTTGAATGCAGAGAGTAAATTTCTTTGCTTTGTACTTTACAATAAAGTTGAATTCTTATATTCTATCAGTAGTACCACAACATGCAGTAGTACGGTCAGGGATACAGTCGCACAAAGGTTTGAAGCAAGTTCTGTTTTTAATTTGAAAAAATATTGCACAACTTTAACCCTACCAAGGCCACCCACCTATTCTGATAAGAGCATTCATTTGCTAATGAACCAGGTGGTTCTTGGTAACTTTGGAGGAGCAACGGAGCTGCACCGATAAGTTGGGAGAATCTGTAGACAGAATGACTATTGTTTTTTTTTGGGGAATAAACTTTATCATCCATAAAAAGACTTGCTAAACTCTAAAATACTCAGGTTGGTAAATATAAAACACATGTATTCCATTCCTTCTCCATTAGAGTCACATTAGTTGAAGCAAAGATCCTTTTTGTCAGGATAAATGTAAGTATCTTGATTGCTAAGTCACAAGGTTAGAAATCAATAGGAAGATTAGTAGCAGCGTTTATATATTTGCCCATACAGACATCATGGTAATAGAGTTATCTTTTCAAGAACCAGGTTTGATAAAACTGGACATTGTAATTGTGGCATTGAAAAGAACAGGTGACCGGATAATGACAACTTAGAAACTGGTTTAATGATATCAGTGATGTATAGGAATCCACTAGAACTGTTTTTCAGGCCTCATTTCATTGTTTTTTTTTTTTGCATCAGCGTTGACTCTACCACATAGGACCAGAAAGCAGTATGCCTCCAAGCGCCGTTGGAGTTAACATAGGGACCTCCTCTCATTCCTAGCCACAGGTAGATGTTATACAGCTGCCCTCTGTGTGACAGGAAATATAGACAGCCCACATAACGGAGTTTAACAAAATATATACCGTCCTCATATTTACTTAGTGTGACACATTCCAATCTACACACCTTTGTTTTGAGTTTTAAAATAGAGAGTTTACACCATCTGTATTAGTTTTTTTTTCAGAAGGCTGGAGTTCAAGTTTGACTCGCATCCTTCATGTACGCTTCAGTCAAGTAATGTTTCTAAGGCTAAATGCTGTCCAGATTTGGCAGCAGCCCAAACCCCCTTTCTATCCCATTCTGGTTCTCATTTAACCCCACAGAAGATTATTGAAGGACAGTTGCAACACCAATTTATTAAAGCAAATTCATTCTCGTCACATTTTTAGCTTCTTCAAATATTTAAATATTTTAAGTAATGTCTACAGTGCAACCAATCATTATATAAAATATTTCTTAAGTGCATAAACTGATATTTTAGGAGATTATGAGAATCCATGGCATAACCATGTCACAGGAATTAACCAGAGATGGTGAGAAGGGAATAAAAAAAATGCAGATCAGAGTTTTTGGTTGTGACTAAAATGTAATACCAGGAGCAGATTATTAGAGGGAGACCTGTGTTTCCTTTCACCATTTCATAGAACAGCCTACTGGAAAAAATGTTGAGGGAAGATATCCTGCAACTTTAAGGGTTTAAAGATCAACGAATAAAGATAAACGAATCCTCTATACACCAAGTTGACCCATTTGTCTCATCTTCGTTGTGGTCAGCTGCAACACCATGTAGGGACATTTACAAAAATATGCTGCAACCGTCCCTCCCTGCAACTACAAATTTTAAACTAGCAAAACCATTTAAAAGAAATGTTTTGGCCCATGACTGCTAGGGGCCAAGAAAATACCTGTTAAGCTATACTACAGTTACCGTTGTCTCCCAGAAGAAGGGAGGGGCTAATTGAGTATGTGCTGCAGGATTCTCATCTAAACGCTAAATTGACAATGTTCCCAAGTATAATAGTGCTTGTATTTTTTAAGATGGATAAAGTGATTACAACTTGAAGTGACAAAATTTTATTAAAATGTCATTAAAAATTTAACATCTAGAATTAAGTCATTTATAATCAAGAAAGTAAAATTCATAAAAATCCTTATAGAAAGAACAGAAGGTGGGATCTTCAGCTTCGGGGAGTTCTGGGGGTTTTCCTGAGACTGCGGCTGGACGCTCCCTTCCGAGGTGATGTGACAGCCTCCTTGATGTTGGCCAGGAAGCCTTTCTTGGGCTTGGGCTGCACAGGGGACTTCTGGGAGAACTTTTCAATTTGAGTCTTGAGTGAAGCGATCTCTCTGTCCTTCTCAGCATTCAGACGTACAGCATCTCCAGTGGACGCCGTCTGGACACCCAGCATAGAAAATAAACACAGATGAAGACTGTTTAAGAATTCTTTCCTAATTAAAAGCATCTCACCTGTTCGTCAGCCTTCTTCTGTAGAGCCTCAAGATCAGCAGATTTCTCCAGAAAACCAACCCTGATATCTTCCAGAGTTTGGCTGAGATCAATCAGCCTTTTCTCTAAAGACAAAATCAACTGAAGACCAAAGTTTCAGATCATTACATGTTCAGACATTCTACAAGCAAGCAAGTCTGACATTCCTACCTCTTGCTTATCCTCACACATTCGCTCAAGGACACATTTTTCTTTGTAAAGACGCATGTATCGATCATCTGCGAGGAAAGAATAAAAAATAAAAAATAAAACTAAATTGATCAAATTTGAGATCTCAGAATTGAGGGGAATCCTTTACCTGCCTCTACGTCTGTAAACGGTTCAGTCTGACATCCCTTCTCCACAGTTTGAAGAGGAGCAACTCTGTTTGTGCCGGACAGCAAGTTCTCCAACTCAGACACTTTACGTTTGAGAGACTATATGGTTCATAAGAGAGGAAAAAAGGCTTTTGCATTGTAAAGATTATCAGCGTCCACCTTAAAACATTCAGTGTTTTGACAATTTGAAGACTTGTCATTTTTTTTTGGTCATTTTGTATACACAAAGTATACAACATAAAATGTAATTTTGTACAGCTTTCAGGACATTTCCATTCTATAAAGTGTAGCAGTGATCAAATATAAAGAGTGTGGGAGGGAAAAAAAAAAACATTGTGCAAAAAAGGTATGGATATGCAAGTTCAGAATACTGATATACACTCACCGGCCACATTAGGCACACCTGTCCAACTGCTCGTTAACACTTAATTTCTAAGCAGCCAATCACATGGCGGCAACTCAGTGCATTTAGGCATGTAGACATGGTCAAGACAATCTCCTGCAGTTCAAACCGAGCATCAGTATGGGGAAGAAAGGTGATTTGAGTGACTTTGAACGTGGCATGATTGTTGGTGCCAGAAGGGCTGGTCTGAGTATTTCAGAAACTGCTGAAACTGCTGATCTACTGGGATTTTCATGCACAACCATCTCTAGGGTTTACAGAGAATGGTCCAAAAAAGAAAAAACATCCAGTGAGCGGAAATGCCTTGTTGATGCCAGAGGTCAGAGGAGAATGGCCAGACTGGTTGGAGCTGATAGAAGGGCAACAGTGACTCAAATAACCACCCGTTACAACCAAGGTGGGCAGAAGAGCATCTCTGAACGCACAGTACGTCGAACTTTGAGGCAGATGGGCTACAGCAGCAGAAGACCACACCGGGTGCCACTCCTTTCAGCTAAGAACAGGAAACTGAGGCTACAATTTGCACAAGCTCATGGAAATTGGACAATAGAAGATTGGAAAACGTTGCCTGGTCTGATGAGTCTCGATTTCTGCTGCGACATTCGGATGGTAGGGTCAGAATTTGGCGTCTACAACATGAAAGCATGGATCCATCCTGCCTTGTATCAACGGTTCAGGCTGGTGGAGGTGGTGTCATGGTGTGGGGAATATTTTCTTGGCACTCTTTGGGCCCCTTGGTACCAATTGAGCATCGTTGCAACGCCACAGCCTACCCGAGTATTGTTGCTGACCATGTCCATCCCTTTATGACCACAATGTACCCAACTTCTGATGGCTACTTTCAGCAGGATAATGCGCCATGTCATAAAGCTGGAATCATCTCAGACTGGTTTCTTGAACATGACAATGAGTTCACTGTACTCAAATGGCCTCCACAGTCACCAGATCTCAATCCAATAGAGCATCTTTGGGATGTGGTGGAACGGGAGATTCGCATCATGGATGTGCAGCCGACAAATCTGCAGCAACTGTGTGATGCCATCATGTCAATATGGACCAAACTTCCTGAGGAATGCTTCCAGCACCTTGTTGAATCTATGCCTCTAAGAATTGAGGCAGTTCTGAAGGCAAAAGGGGGTCCAACCCGTTACTAGCATGGGGTACCTAATAAAGTGGCCGGTGAGTGTATATGGCACAAATGTGCAACATCTCATTTTGTGTCAGTTTGATGCATAGTTTGTGACTTTTCTTCAACAGTTCAGCTGTCTAATGGCAGTGGGGAAGAAGATTTTGCAGAATCTGCTGGTCCTGCATCGAAGAGTGACTATTGTGAGGTAATGAACAGTGAGAAGGAAAAAAAAGGGGGGGGCATAGATACAAATAATGTAAATCTAGTTTAGTCTGTAATTTAGGAATTGGTGTGAAGTGAAAGAGTTCAATGTGACAGGTGATATGAAGTGATCTAAAC